CATAAAAATTCCGGGTTTCTTTCATGTATTTCCCGGAAAAGCCAAAAAACCTCGAAAAAATTCAGTTTTTGGCCCATATCTCGGCAACCAGACCACTTAGCGACTTGAAACATGTACCAATCGATTTCTGTCATAATTTAGAACAATATTGCCGAAGAAAGTTTTCAAAAATATTCTCTCGTTCGGTCACAAATTTTAAAATTACATAAACACCTACAAACCGATTGTTCTTCTAGCTTGAACGCACCCCAACATTATACGTCAGAGCTATTTTTAGATAACATAAGGAAATTGCGCACAAATGTCACTAGACTTTTTTAATTAACTTGTTTTACTATGGAAATTAACATAAAATGCAATATTACAAAATAAAACCAATATTCATCATGTCATGTTTGCCTGTCGTCCCTACTGGGACATAGGCCGCTGACAAGAGCTTTCCAGACGTCTCTGTCCAGGGCTAGTTTCTCCAACTGTCCCCAGGTGTATCCAATCTTCTTGGTGTCTTCTTCCAGGTCACGTCTCCAGGTCTTTCTTGGTCTGCCTCTCTTCCTCCTGCCTTGTGGATTCCAGGTGGATTCCTTGTTATGCTGGATACAGGCTTCCTGAGTGTGTGGCCAATCCATTTCCATTTTCTCTTGAGGATCTCTACTTCCACTGGCAGTTGATTTGTCCGTTGCCATAGAACATCATTTCTGATGGTTTTAGGCCAGCTTCTTCTTCTTCTTCGTTCTTAATTTTTAGTGTTGGGAGGGATCGAGCCTTATCTGCAAGAGGGTTTGATCTCGAGACTTTTTCGAATTTATCAACCATGAGCTTTGCCGACTCGACCATGCTTCCATCACAATTAAGGATTACGTGTCAACTGGTTATGCGCCATTGAGGCCATTGACTCCGATTTCAGCATGCTTTTCTTTTTGGATTTGCTTCCATAGCCTTTGTCCAACCAAGAACAAACTACAAGGCAGTAGTTGTTTGATTTTGGAGTTGTCTCCTAGAAGAGTGGCTGTCCCCAGCTAACGAGCCTCATCTGCCCGAGGGTTCGAACTCGAGACATTTCGGTTTAGCAACCATGAGTTTTACCGACTCGACCACGCCGACCCCCTTTAGGCCAGCGAATTCGCAGGATCTTTCTGAGACATGCGTTTATAAATGATTGTATTTTCTTCTTATTTATAGCAGTTATTCTCCATGTCTCGGCTCCATAGAGTAAAACAGGTTTTACTAGTGTGTTGAAGATCCGGATTTTTATTCTAAGGGTTAAATCTCCCGAACCCCAAACATTTTTTAGTTGGTTGAAGACTGCTCTTGCCTTACCCGTCCTTATTTTTATGTCTGCTTCTGTCCCACCCTGCTTATCAACAATACTTCCAAGGTAGGTGAATCTATCCACTTCTTCTAGGGCTTCTTCTGCCAGTGTTATAGGGTTGTTGTTTGATGCATTGACTTTGAGAACTTTACTTTTCCCTCTGTGGATGTTCAGACCCAGGCTTGTAGAAAAATTTGCAACCCTGTTGGTTTTATCCTGCATTTGCTGTTGTGTGTGAGAAAGGAGGGCCAGGTCGTCAGCAAAGTCCAGGTCATCCAGCTGGCTCCACAATGTCCACTGTATACCGTTTCGCGTTTTCTCTGTTGACATCTTCATAACCCAGTCTATGGCCAGTAGGAACAGGAATGGTGAAAGTAGGCAACCCTGCCTTACTCCGGTCCGTACTGGGAAGGCCTCTGTAGTCTGTTGGCCATGCACTACTCTACATTTGAGAACTTCATATGAAGACATAATAATGTTGACTATTTTCTGTGGCACCCCGTAGTGTCTCAACAATTTCCACATTGACTGCCTATCCAGGCTATCAAAGGCCTTCTCATAGTCTATGAAATTAATATAGAGAGATGAGTTCCACTCTTGGGTCTGTTCAATGATGATGCGCAGGGTAGCAATTTGGTCTATGCATGACCTTTCCTTCCTAAAGCCCGCCTGTTGATCTCGAAGCTGGGGATCTATGGCTTCCTTCATTCTGTTTAATAATATTCTGTTGAAGACTTGCCTGGGGTGGACAAAAGTGTTATCCCTCTATAGTTAGAGCATGCACTAAGATCGCCTTTCTTTGGAAGCTTTATGAGTAGTCCCTCCTTCCACTCCTCTGGTATTTGTTCATCTTCCCAGATTTTCTTGAAGAGTGTGTATAGTAGTGTGGTGCTAGTTTCTATATCTGCTGTCAGTGCTTCTGCCGGTATACCATCTATTCCTGGAGCCTTCCAATTTTTCAGCTGCTTTATAGCTCTATGTATCTCTTCTTTTGAAGGTGGGTTGCAGTCTATAGGGAGGTCACTTTCAGCTGGTGGTATGTCTTGCGTGCACTCTGGTGTTGGTCTATTCAGTAGTTCTTCAAAATGTTCTACCCATCTCTTCATCTGTCCTTCCGCATCAGGTATTGTCTTTCCATCTTTGGTTTTCACTGGCCTCTCTGGCTTACTGTACTTACCAGATATCTTCTTAATTGTATTGTACACGTCCCTAATATTACCATGGTACAGTGCTTCTTCCGCTTCTCTTGCCAGCAGTTCCAAATAGCTCCGTTTGTCTTTCCTTATGTGTTTCTTGACATTTTTGTTCGTTTCGGTGTATTCTTCCAGTGCTTTTAATTTCGTAGCCCGTGTGCGGCTGTTGTTTAATGTTGCCTTCTTTCTTTTTCTCTCTTCAATAATTTTCATGGTATCTGCTGATATCCATTCCTTCGCTTGTCTTTTGATAGGGCCTAGCACTTCTTCGCATGTTGATGTTAATATACTTTTAGTTTTTTCCCATGTTTCCTCTATCGTCTCTTCTTCTATTAGTTCTTGTAGTACCTGGAACCTATTGGACATATGAAGTTTAAATTCGTTGAGTTTAGATGGGTCCTTTAGCAGGCCTGTGTTGTACCTGTATTTCCTTTTGTTTTCCAACATGTTTTTCTTCAGCTTGAGTTTTACTTTAGCTACCAGTAGGTGATGGTCTGAAGCAACATCAGCTCCTCTCTTGACGCGTACATCCTGAAGTGATCTCCTGAACTTTTTTATGATACATATATGGTCTATCTGGTTTTCTGTAGATAGGTCGGGTGATACCCAAGTAGCTTTATGTATCCTTTTGTGATTGACTACCGCCAATGACTAAATTATTTGTGGCACACAAGTCAGCAAATCTTTCTCCGTTTTCGTTCATCTCACCTAAACCCTGCTGTCCCATACATTCTTCATATCCTCTGTTGTCGCTTCCAATCTTAGCATTGAAGTCGCCCATGAGTATAAGGATGTTTCTTCTTGGGCGGTTCTGGATAATGGTCATTAGCCTGTTGTAGAATTCGTCTTTGTCCTCCTCTTTGCTGTCATTTGTTGGGGCGTAGGCCTGTATTATGTCCATGTTTATTCGTCTTATTTTAGTTTTAAAGGTAGCTGTTATGATCCGCGGGCAGTGTGCCTCCCATCCGATGAGAGCCTTTTGTGCTTGGTTTGATAGCATGAGTGCAACTCCTTGAGTATGTGGTGCATTTTCATCCTCATGACCTGAGTACAGCAGTAGCTCTCCTGATATCAGCCTTTTTTGTCCTGAGCCAGTCCACCTTGATTCGCTGACACCCAGGATAGCTATTTTATAGCGTCTGATTTCTGCTGCTACTTGGGTTGCTTTTCCAGCTTCGTACATCGTGCGGACATTCCAAGCTCCAATATTGATGGTGGTCCTAGTGGAAATAATGGTGGTCGACCTGGTAGTTTCCAATACATATTGGCTTTCACCACCCGGCTTCATGAATTCTCCATCGGGAGATCCATTTTTCCCATGGTCCGAGCTGTCTTTGTTTCTCTCTGTCTGCGTTTCTGTAGCGATAGTTGTTTTACGAGATAAGGTTGCTGACCTTATGCTCAACCCCCAACCTGGAGGACCGGGGTGCTAGCTTTCGTCTGACCCCTACCCGCGCAGACCTTCCCAGCTTGGTTGAACCTGCCAGGAGTTAACACTCCCGCTGGTATAGCTCTGGGGGTCGTCAGGGTACGCAAGCTGCCAAGCCACGACAAGGCCCTAGCACCAGATGACAGAAAACCAATATTAACAGCATTTAATTTGTTGATACGTTTGGGACGAATTACTTGGTTAAACTGCCTCCTATCCGTAGACTTCGTTTATTAGAAAGTGATGATACGTTGCATAGTTGTGAGGTTTTTTTTATTACTGGTTTTGGCAGACTTTTCTTGTGATCTTAGATATTTTTCAAGCCTCATTAGAATTAGATCTATGATAGTTTCTCTACCCCCCCCCCCCCCCCCCCATGTATTGTCAGTCTTGTTCAAGCATGAGAATTTGTTACCTACGTATTTTTTCTTCCCCACCCCATCCACAGATCTTTACCAGACGATTTTTTAATCAGATAAGAGTATATTTCGTTCCCTGCTCTCGTGAGATTTCGTGACCATGATATTTTCTCTAACTCCTCCCCCACCTACGCATGGGCAGGATGTTATTGTTTCAAAATAAGATTTTGTGACAAAGATATTTTTCTCTTTTGTTCAAACATAAGATTTCGTGACAATGATATTTTTTCTCTCCCTACCCCAGGTCTCGGCAGACTTTTGTTCAAACAGATGAGATTTCGTGACAATGATATTTTTCTCTCCCTACCCCAGGTCTCGGCAGACTTTTGTTCAAACAGATGAGATTTCGTGACAATGATATTTTTCTCTCCTACACCAGGTCTCGGCAGACTTTTGTTCAAACAGATGAGATTTCGTGACAATGATATTTTTCTCTCCTACACCAGGTCTCGGCAGACTTTTGTTCAAACAGATGAGATTTCGTGACAATGATATTTTTCTCTCCCTACCCCAGGTCTCGGCAGACTTTTGTTCAAACAGATGAGATTTCGTGACCATGATATTTTTCTCTCCCTACCTCAGGTCTCGGCAGACTTTTGTTCAAACAGATGAGATTTCGTGACAATGATATTTTTCTCTCCCTACCACAGGTCTTGGCAGACTTTTGTTCAAACAGATGAGATTTCGTGACCTGCCGCAGACCGCGGACGTTGAGCAGCTGAAGGAGCAGCTGAAGGAGCAGCTCAAGGAGCAGGGCTACAGCCAATGGGACAACACAGACACAGCCGTGGGTAAGTCAATCACCTCAAGAAACGATTCGCAGAATGACAATGTAACTGACCGATTGTCCAGAGGTTGTCCGAAGGCCGATTTCCCGAAGGCCAATTTCATGTAGATCGATTGCTCTAGGTCGACTGCCTTATGGCCTATTGTCCAAAGTAATACGGTTAAAGGCCGATCGTTCAAATTAGGACTGATGAAGGCCGATTGGCCGTAAAAATAATTGCTTGAGATAAAAGTGTGCATTTTTAATTTTGAAAATAGTTTTGAAAAATATAGAATTGATATCGTGTAAATTAAACTATTAAGTAATTAGCCTACTTAAATTAATTATCTTAACTAGATGCTCTCAATGAAAATTAAAAGAAAGTGTGCGTATTCGATTTTAAAATACCTCGAACTTGTATGTTACATTAGCTAAGCTAGAAACTCTATAGAATTAGAAACGAAAACTATTTTTTTTAAAAAATAATATAGATCCTGATGACTCACAAAGAAGAAATTCGTAATCTCGATCAGTTTTACTTAATTCGATGTGTTTATAAAAATCTTAATTGGGTAGATTTTTAATGAATTATCGACGGATTATATGTATTTTTTCTTACTGATATTTTCAGAAATTAAATTAAAAAACAACAAAAAAAAAAAAAAACCTCACCAATTTGGCTTATCACATACCACATGGTAAACTAAATAAACTCACAGAAAGTTGGTATCAATTTAAGTTAACGAGTTTAACAGTGCGACTATAAAAGTTGTCAAGAACAACTAATGCTTGTGTGGCAATACAGCAAATTCTAACAAATACTTAAATGGAGAAAATGAACAGTGACATTTAAAAGAAATAATTTTATTTTATAAAACTCGGTTTTATACACTAACCAGGACACAATCCAGAGGCATCGCGAGGCGGGGGTGCGGACCGCACCGGGTGACACCATTTATGTGGGTGACACCAAAACAAACGAAAAAGCGAGATTTATATAATAAATGTTTTCTGCCAGTTCAACGAATGGTTTATCAGAGTTAAAAAGTATTTTAGGTACATGCAAATTTTTAGAGAAAACAATACCACAGCATGCTGCATAAACATCCGACTACAGATAAACATTATTAGTATTAAATTTGAAAACTTTAAAGTTTTTACCGGGGAGGGGTGGGGGGACACCAACTGCAAATTTTCAAGGGAAAAAAGAGCGGGGGGTGGGGTGACATATATCGACATCGCAACGACTAAAATCGTTTTAAGTTAATGTTTTAATTCTTTTGTGCGCATTAATCCAACATATATTCCTAGACTTGCTGAAGTAAAAGTTAAATGAAAATACAACTTGAAATGGTATTTTCCAGGGAAAAGGGACGTTACTCGACAGGAACTGATTGACCAGTTGGCCGCGTTGATTCTACAGATGAAGGAGAGAGACGCGGGCACCAGGCTACACATGCCTAGCCTGCGGTTTGGTTGAAGCTACCCAAGTGCTCATCCGTTTTTCAAATTTCGTGATTTCAAATTATGAAATAAATTTATGAAACAAAATTCTTTTGCTAGATTTGTGTTGGGGTGGATCTGTGTATGTGTGAATATTTAACGAATTTAAAATAATGGGGAAATCAAAATATGACGTCAAAAACATACGATATGTACCCCTCCATCAGAAGCGTGTGGTGGGATGAAAAAAGTGACACTGATACTATAGCTTTTCAAAAAAATTATTACCTTATTATTGGTACATACTTTGGTGATAGAAGAAAATTACTCAATTGAATCATACCTATCTTTGCTATGATGATTAAGTCTAAAAGCTACAGAGCTAAAAGATATAGTTTATATCACACCGACTCTCAATATTTTGCTCATATGTGATAACACTTTTAAAAACAAGTTTGTCGTATCGTCTCGATACAAACTTACCCCACCCAATTCATTAAACGAAAGTTAGCAACCATTGTTATATTCTTATATCAGCAAATATGTAATTTTTGCTTTAGATGTTAACGTTATTATAATGAGTGTGAATAAGTTGTATACTGTGGTAAAATGGTAGTTAATGTTTGATAGTTTCAGGGAAAAAATACTTATAAAACATCAAAATAGAAAAGTCTAAAGATGTGATGAATTCTGGACTTTAAATGAATTCTCATGATCACTTTCCCATAGTTTTTACATTAGTTTAACATCATAACGAAAAGTCTTTTAAAAAGTCTACAATTCACCTATTATCTTTGTCATGTTGCCGTCTATGTTGTTTTTCATCGTGCTTATAGAAGGAAATGAAGAACCTAGATGCTGCTTCTTGCTCTTTTTCTACTTCGTCTGTAGCGGCGAAGTAACTCGCGGGTCAGGGACCCTGACAAGGTCCGGTTACCTGGCTCGGGAGGTACCGGTGTCATCGTCTCCACCATTGGCGTGGTCCTGGCATTCTGGCCTTGGCTCGCAAATATCTGAAGGAACGGACATCAAACACTTACCCGAGTCTGATAAGGTGTGGTGCGTGTTGACAGAGACATGCTTTCAACCATGTGAATCTATCCTGGGTTTTTTTCCTCCGGGGGTAGAACTTATTGATCCCGTCCTCATTCCCCTTGTTAACGTTAGTTAAAAGTAAAGTGTAAGGACCACGGACCAAATGCGGGAATGTTGACTTTCAGACCCAGACTACCGTACCTTTTGCTTTATGCTCCATGCGGACCAAGATTCTAGATACCAGATCATCTTAGTTCAAAACCGTCAACCAAAACACTTGCCGAACCACAGTTTCCAGAAACGCGTGGAAGTGTATCCTCAGGTAATATGGCGTTGAATTTCCCTTTTCGGATCCCTACCCCCGATCATCCACCAACTTGTAGACACCATATTGAAAGCACGGGAGTTGTGGTCTATTTGGTGCGCGGACCTTTGACCACAGGTGCTTTGACCATAGGTGGTTTGACCATAGGGCGTTTGACCACCGCGGACCTTTGACCATAGGGGCTTTGACCATAGGGGGTTTGACCACAGCGGGCCTTTGACCATAGCGGTGCTTTGACCATAGGGGGTTTGATCATAGGGCGTTTGACCATAGGGGGTTTGACCACAGGTGTTTTCTCAGCAGAGGGTCTTTGATCACAGGTGGTCTATCAACTGGTGTTTGATCACAAGCGCTGTGTCCAGCTTTGATCATAGATGTGATACAATTAACACGATTTTATACAAGTTTCCTGAGAGTACGTTAATAGAAATTAACATGTATTTAAAAAAAAAAGCCAAGAACTATATTTTAGTCTCCACATATAGGCTGGTGCTAGGCCTCATAGATTTATTTTAAATATAAATGAAACACAAATAATGCGACATATAACAAGTTTCACAAATAAATAATGTAGAAGTACTTGAAAATACATAGCATATATAAAAGATAAAATGATAAAAAAAACTTGCCAACAATATAGTCAAAGATGTAATACATAAAATGGTTAACTAAATGACAGATGTGCTATAGCACGCAAATATGTCAGTATATCTGTTTGACCATATTATTACATCCTGTCGAAATTTAAAATATAATTTAGCAACTTTTAAAATAAATCCTTACCATATATGGACAGCATTGGACAAACCACCTGAGATCAAAGACCCTATGTGGACAAAACACCTGAGATCAAAGACCCTATGTGGACAAAACACCTGTGATCAAAGCCGGACACAGCGCTTTTGATCAAACACCAGTTGATAGACCACCTGTGATCAAAGACCCTCTGCTGAGAAAACACATGTGGTCAAACCCCCTATGGTCAAACCCCCTATGATCAAACCCCCTATGGTCAAAGCACCGCTATGGTCAAAGGTCCGCTGTGGTCAAACCCCCTATGGTCAAAGCCCCTATGGTCAAAGCTCCGCTGTGGTCAAACCCCCTATGGTCAAACCCCCTATGGTCAAAGCACCTGTGGTCAAAGGTCCTAGGACCGTCTATTTGGACCAGGTCAGAGGCGTAGCGACCCTTCCCGGCGCCCGGGGACAAACTTTCAATTTGCACCCCCTCAACCTTTCAATTTATTTTTCCAACCCATTTTGGCGCCCCCTAAGGTCGGCGCCCGGGGACATATGTCCCCCCCCCCCCTCGCTACGCTACTGGACCAGGTTACTCAGCAACAAAGAGAGAAGAGAGAGGATCAACTGAGTAACCAGAGTTTCTTCCGAACGAAATGGAATTTATATAGGAAATATATACTTTTAACAGCGTCCGACCGCCCCCCCCCCCACCCCGAAAATTTTAGTCCGCCCCCCCCCCCCACCCCCGAAGAGAAAAGTCTGGAAGAAACACTGTAACTGAGATGGAATTTATATAGAAAATACATACTTTTAACAGCGTCCCCCCCCCCCCACCTTAGAAAATTTTTGTCCGCCCTCCCCCCTCCCCCCAGAGAAAAAAATCTGGAAGAAACAACACTGTAACTGAGATGACTGATGCAGCATCACTGTCTGTTTTAAGGTTATTAGATGATTATTTAGGTACACATGTAGAGTTTTGTCTCGGTGATCATTGTTGTCTATTGAAATAATAAAAAAAAAATAAACATTTTAATAAAAAGTCTAGTGACAATTTAAGCGCAATAATTATTTCCTTAATTAATTTTTTTTGTGACCGAACGAAAGGATATTTTTGAAAACTTTCTTCGGCAATATTGTTCTAAATTATGGCAGGAATCGATTGGTAAATGTTTCAAGTCGCTAAGTGGTCTGGTTGCCGAGATATGGGCCAAAAACTGCATTTTTAAAAAGTTTTTTTCGGCTTTTCCGGGAAATCCAGGAAGGAATTCCAGGAATTTTTTTGGCCCACAATCATCCTGGGAACTTGCTTAACATATTTGCATTTGGAACTAGTCCTCGATATTGCTTCGTTGAGGAGGAGATACGACTTAAAGCTGCGGACACACATCCTTCTATCCTTGACGAGTTAATAATCGCAATTGTCCGTATGGAAATTGCGCTAAAAAAGATTTAGATTAGGCCTACATGCATACACATTTTACTATATAGGCCTAGACGGCTACAGTAGTAAAGGAATCAGGAAAGAGGTTGATGTTTATGCTACAATCTAGTTCATATTTATACTCGTACAAATTTAATTTAGAAATAATCGGGGAAAACACAGATGTAAGAAAGACTTTTACTAGAACTAACACTATTATAACATTTCTCTATCACCCCAAGGGTCGTAAATAAATGACGTCTCGCGACCAGCTGGTGTAAAAGATTAGGGGGGGGGGAGCTTTTTGTGATTAAATTCTACAATAGAAGCGGATTCAATAGATGTAGCTTTATAGGGGCTGTCCGTAAATAATGTCACTTTTTATGACCCATTTACTTCACCCTTATAAAATGACGTCGTAATTCAGCATTAACCCTATTGTTTTTTAAAAGAGTTTGGTTTTCGAAAATATTAACTATGCTGGTTTAAGATACAGTAGGTCTATAATGAAAATATTAATTATGATGTAGATCTATAGAAATAAAGTACGAAATAACTTTAAAAAAATTCCTTTTTAAGATGTAAAATTGTGAAAATGTAAAAGACACCCCCACCCACTTATGTGTGACATAATGGACGAGCGAATAGGTCTAAGTTATATCTTTTATGTAGATCTACATGAGATTTTTAATATGTCCATTTGCTGGCATTTTGGGTCTACATTTTTTGTGTGACATGCGTCGACTGGAGGGTGGAGGTTTAAAAAATCTAACATAACTTGATGTAAGATGGACGAGTTCATTCCCCCATTGTCTTTGATTTTTTAAAAAGTAAACTTATAGACCACATTTAATTTCTTTGTTAAATAAATATTATTAGTTGGAAGCTTGTAAAATTTTTAAAAACATTTTATTTGTTTCGGTATTTAGTGAAACCTCGTTTGTTGTTAGATAGCGATTGTTTATTTGATTTTAGCCATTGTTGACAAATTTACTTACAACAAGAATCTAGTCTAGATCTCTAGAAGTAATTTAATGTTTAACTTGTGGCCTGATTACCTGACTCCAAGAAAGAAGTAAACTTGGCGAAAACTCAGATTTTTCAATAAGAGATTATCATTGTAAGTATAATCCGGGGTACCAATCCGATAATCTATGTCTGTCCACTGTCCAGTCATATTTTCAATCTAGATTAGGTTTAATTATGGATTTTTTAAAATAAAATATTCTGTTATTTCAAATACACTATTAAGTTCCTTACCCCTTAAGAGAACATTTGACACCACATTTAAATATCTAGCTTACTCAGTTGACGAGAAAAGAGAGAATTTTAAAATTTGTCTAGAATGGAAAATGAATGACAAAACCCACGTTCTCGATCCCTGCCGGCATGGCATGACGTCGTGAACTGGTGTGCACAAGTTTTTTAAGGGGTGTGTCAACTTAGGTTATTTACTCACCGGAAAATAACAAAAAAAAAACCAACTGATTTATAATAAAGCTAGATCTAGTTATTTATTAAATTGGTAAAGGAAAATGTACATTACAAATTCTACTCTACATGTTATTCATACCATTTTTTATGAAATAATGAACACTTGCATAACTCAAATTACCATAAAAAATATTTTTATTTCAAATTCTAATTTTATTAAATATGCTTAAAATAATATGATTGTTATGATAGTCTATAAATACAAGAAATAGGCCTAACTCAATTCACATTATATTGAGTCAACAGTGTGGAAGCTGAAGTTCATACACGGTATTAGTGTCTTTTTTTTTTACATTACATTTTTTTTCATATTGAAAACGTGACGTGTAATTTTTTTTTTAATAAAATCTCCAAACATCGTCACTCGCGTGATTGCTTGCTTATGTTTACTATCCCGCGGGTGAAAAATCCCACCACGGTCGAGGGGTCACTGTGCGGTCAGCAGGCCTGTAGTACACGTCATAGAATGAACACGCGTACTCGAGATCGTCGGTGTCTTCACTTCTCTCTCTCTCTTTCCCCCCCCCCCCCCCTTCTTCAAGCAAATTATAATAGAGTAGAGCCGAATGGATACAAAACTAACGTTACTAAGACTAATTTTAAAACTTAGCTTAATTTTTTTTGTCTACTCTCTTAAAAGATAAAGCAAATGTAGTTTAATGTAGTAAGGTAAAGTAATTTAAATATTCAATATCAACTTGAAGTCGATCTATCTTGATAAAATCTGTCAAGAAAAAAAAACGATAAAAGATCTCCACCCTGAACTTAAACCAATTGTAATTTTAACAGACGAAAATGATGCTCGCGCACATTTTTTTTTAACTAGATCTACGTCTAGCTTTAAAAATAATAAACACATAAACGCTTAAAATGCCCGTAAACAGATTATTTAGCGCCAAAAAAAAAAAGGCCGCTGAACAAGCATTGTTTAAAATACGCAGCAATGAAAAAGGCTAACGGCCTATCAAATAACTCTAAAAATCGCCCGAAATTAGGCCTAGCTCTGAAAAAGGCCACTGAACGAGCATCACTGATTATATAAACGAATAGGCCACGCAGCGTTGACGAGGTTAACCACCGGTCACGAATTAAATTCAACGCAGCTAGTGTCGGCCCACAGTGAAGAAAAAAAATCAATATAGGCCATATTTTAATAAAATTACTAATACAATAATAATTTCCACAATTTTACTTTTTCTGCACACGCTGCAGTTGAATTATAATTAAAATACTAGACTTAAAGGTTCATTCCGCAAAAAACAAAAACTAGTTGTTTCTGTGAGGTAACTAGCGTAACAATGACGTCACGATAGTAAACAACGCGGACAGAAATTTCTGCATTGGTACCTCATCCTCATATTCGATTTTTAAAAAATGTATCAACATATCTGTAATTAATCATTATAAATATCTCAATTATATATTTCTGCATTTGTACCAGGGGGTTTCGACCATGTACTGGGCCGTTTAAGGCGGCAGTTCAGTTTTTCCCAAGAGTACTCGACAAAAATAGCGTGTATTAATTAAAACCACGTATCTCGTGAATATTTCGAACATTTTAAGGCATGGCGTCCATTTAGTTAGCATCTCACATTAAAATAATGATGAGATTTTGCGATATTAGCAGTTTTTTCATTTGTCGTGTAACGGACCCCTAAAAAAAACGAAAAAAAACGCAAAAAACGACGAGTGACGTTTCAGGGTCAGAGGTCATCCCGCCATCTCAGCCAGGAGACGATCTAACTAGATCGAACTAGAATCTAGAATACTAGATTCTAGACTAGATCTAGATCTAGATCTAGTAAAAGAAAAGTTAAAGTTAATGTTAACTGTTAATTTCCGAAATTCTGTGATACTAACAGCACTAACACAGTGTCACTGATACTGATAGACTTAGACTGAGTGATAGAAAGTTTAAAGATAGATTTAGTCTGATCTAGATCTAGAATTTTAGAGAAAGAGATCTAGGCCAGGCCTAGCCTCCTAAGACTAAGAAATCAAATGAATGCTAAGATTTAAAAATCTAGCGCTAGCTGGATCGTCTCAGAATCTAGAATCTCAAAGATTTAATTTATTTAAAGATTTTTTAGATATAAATCTAGATCTATATCTAACTTAAAAAAATAAAACTCGAAAGAATGTGTGTAAAACTCTATTTACTATTTTAGCTTATTGAGAAAGGGGCCTATTGTATTTTATTCCCCACTTCACGTTCACCTCCAGTTGAGCGTATTTTATTATAAACACAACAGAAACACACATTCCTAGCAGGTCAAATTAAAAAGATGAATTTAAAATAATCAACAAATTCAGTTATGAGATCTGCTCACATGCCATGTTGACAAAGCGACCTATTCTGGCGCGAGCTGAACTATCAATATAATTTTTTTCCCTGACCACCACCCCCCTAATTATATATAGATATTCTTATTGTCAAAAAATGCTCCCCCCATTCTGAAAGATCTGGGCACTTTTTACAAGTCACTGTCCCTTTACCTTTTTATTTTGGTGTCACATATGTGATGTAGAGAATGAGTTGTAAGCCAAGTAAACAGAAGGAAGTGACTAATTGCTTCATATATTCTGGGTTAACTTTCTTTGCTTAGGTTATTCATCATTAATCTAACATTTAACATAAACAGCAGGAAATTTATTTAACATGCGATTAGGTCAAGTATTCTGGCCATATGTTATTAGTTAATTTGTAGACTTATTTTAGATAATAATTTAGTTCAAGCACATACAATATTGGATGGTTTCAAATGTTTATTCATATTTTAATACAAACCTTAATGCACACATGAAAATGAGTGATTGTAATACATGTTTTTAAAAGTTTGGAAGTTTGGAACATAAATTTAACCCTTTTTTAAGCACAGAGCTGTTTTATACAATTTTCTTTACTAATGCATGTAAATTAAGTGACACGGAAAGTTTTAGAACTCATACTTCAAATGGGTAAGATTTGACGTAAAGGGGTAGAAGCTGGATTTGTGACTGTAACAGTAATCTTTAAACATAATTATACAATGTCTTGATAGTTCCAAACAAATTATTGTATATCTACTTATATAAATTTAATATTGCAACATTCAATAGAAGAAACCATTTAAGATGGTTTATTTATGTAAAATTCCAAAACATATTTCTACCAACAATAAAGGCTGCATTTATTCATGTATGTGGTATTTCAGCTCTTGAGAATTATTTATTGTCTTTTACAAATTTATTTGCATAAAGTTCATAAAGTAAATAAAAAAAAAATGGTTTGAGTTGTATATTATAGAGGCAAAGATGAAGTCTTTTTTAATATTATAAAGTAGCAGTTCTTGTTGGCTGTCTTAGCCAGGTGTTTGGTGGTGTAAGATGGCCAGCTGGCATGTTACTCATGTTTTATAGGGATCAGCTTATCCTTATGTCCATCAGTAATGGGCAGTGGGGCTTCAATGGTCAGTATCCCATCACGACTTAGCTTGGATGTCAAGGTCTCTGGGTTCAGCTCCTATGACAGAGAAAACTCTCAATCAGATTTTTTTTTCAACAAGTGCCTCATTAAATATTGATGTTTGATTGGTGGAGTGAGTGATTACTGACCCCATGAACCTTGAGTTCTGATGCCAAGAATAAGTGTCTAGGAGCTCCCTAGGTGCCTATGTTAAATCAGGGGAAATAAATGCCACTGGTGCAATGTATTGACCACATCTGCCCCAGTTATTATCTCCCCTGTCCTTTGTAACAGATTAACTCTATTGTGTCTTTAGTTGGGATAAGGTCTCTGGAACAGATTAACTCTATTGTCTTAAGTTGGGGATAAGGTCTCTGTAGCGGATTAACTCTATTGTCTTTAGTTGGGGATAAGGTCTCTGGAACAGATTAACTCTATTGTCTTTAGTTGGGGATAAGGTCTCTGGAACAGATTAACTCTATTGTCTTTAGTTGGGGATAAGGTCTCCGGAACAGATTAACTCTATTGTCTTTAGTTGGGGATAAGGTCTCCGGAACAGATTAACTCTATTGTCTTTAGTTGGGGATAATGTCTCTGGAACAGATTAACTCTATTGTCTTTAGTTGGGGATAAGGTCTCTGGAACAGATTATCTCTATTGTCTTTAGTTGGGGATAAAGTCTCTGGAACAGATTATCTCTATTGTCTTTAGTTGGGGATAAAGTCTCTGGAACAGATTGACTCTATTGTCTTTAGTTGGGCATAATGTCTCCAGTGTGTACTAACCATAGGTAATGAACTTCATTTTTTTTAGGTAACTAGCACCTTCTGCCCAACCTGAATAACATATGACCTTACTTTGTTAGCACTGTAAAAAATTGACTTAGATAACCTATGTATAGCACATGACCTTACTTCTGATTGTAGTATCAACCCCCCTCCGTACATGACCTTCCTGTATGAGACATGACCTAACTTTTGCTAGTACTACCACCCCCTCTGTATAGCACATGACCTAACCTTCAGTAACACTACCCTCCCCCTCTATAGTACATGACCTTACCTTCAGTAACACCACCCTCCCCCCTCTGTATAGTACATGACCTTACCTTCACAGGGATGTGACCAGACCAGAAAAAAAAATTAGGAAATTTTCTTCGGATAATATCTCAATATGTTTATCTACTTTTTATCGCAGTTAAGCAGCTTCATACTGTTACTGTACTAATTAATTGTTTAATGAAGTTAATATTTTAAATACAAGAAGTTTATGTTACTCTAAAAAAACATTGAAAGTCTTGTCTAATTGCAATTTAATGTTTACATTATAAACAACTTTTTAAAAATTACAATGTAACTAAAGTAGCAATTAAGTTTTATTTTACCATTAAGCTAATTTAAACTGTACTAATCTAGTGTAGATTCTAGATGTACTCCTGTTTTCAATTTTTAAATAGGGGACCTAATGCCTTATATTCTTTTAAAGATTGGATTGGTAAAAATATTTGTCTTCAACTGTAAAGATCCTAGATTAAGATTAGTTACAAGTTGAGTTTTAGGTTCATATGATGCAAAAATGCAATGGACCAGGTTAGCTAAAATTAGAAAGGGTCTGACGTGTGAACCAAAGTTAATCATTATGATAGCCAAGCCATATCGATATTAATGTATTTTGGAATAGCTGTAAATTGTTAGGGGTCATCCACGTTTTTTTAAATGATATTTACCTCCCCTCTCTCCTACAAAAGCCAGACTCCCCCCCCCCCCACCCCATAATGACGTCACACCTCAGCCAACAAATGCTCCCCCCTCCTCGAAATTAATTTGAATTTTTTTTTAAAACATCGATTTTTTCTAAAATATTGACTGAGGTCAACCAACATAGGGTACTTTCAGAGCCGGCGTTAGGGGGTGGCAAACGGGGCGGTCGCCCTAGGCCCCGCGCTTGAAGGGGCCCCGCGCTTGAAGGGGCCCCGCGCTTGAAGGGGCCCCGCGCTTCAGCACTGTCATTGTTATCTGAATTAGTTTGTAAACTTATATAGTTGTTGCTGAATTCAATTGGGAAAAACTAAATGGTCGAATGCCGACGTTGTTGATTGTTATAACTGAGGCCACGGTTGGTGTTGGTGAGTTATCGCCCACCTGAACTGGGAAAGGCCGTAATTCGATACAAAAACAGTGTCTGACCTCCCCTTTCTGTTGGGTACGGTCTCCTCGCATTTGACCTGAGCTGACTAGAGATAGTTGGAGATAGTTGGACGTGAATCAGCCCCCGACCTGGCATGGGATGTAAATTTGGGAAACACGTAAAGTGATACCGATGATGACGTCCTAGTATTAGTGAGCAGACGGGATGCCTGTAGTATACAGTTAGTGACCCGATGAACGCTAGTCCTAACTTTCTTGTTGTAGATGTCGTATATGTAGGCCTACTTGTCTTGGTATGACAAAATTAACATTCAGTTGCGTGCAGAGGGGTGGGAAGAGGGCTACGAGGGGGGGGGGGGGCCTTAGGATCTATATCAAGGGGCATTAGACAGAGTGATTTATTATTATTTTTTTGGAAGAAAGTTAAAAGTGATTTGGTATGAATTACATAACTGTCAAAAGTGATTTAATATCTTAGCAAGGAAAAAAAAAACTAAGAACATTGGGTTAAAACGTGGGAGAGGTAAACATCTGTCTTATAGACTCCAAAACAATTATGTGTTATTATGTGTGTATGCATATTATATAGGACTATACACACACACCCACGCACACACACGCACACACATGTATGTATATATATATATATATATATATATATATATATATATATATATATATATATATATATATATATATATATATATATATATATATATATATATATATATATATATATATATATATATATATATATATATATATATATAATGGAAATAAAGCAGGCCTTGCGCGGATGGTTGGCCCTAGGCCCCGCGTGTTCCTAACGCCGGCTCTGGGTACTTTATTCAATTTCTATTACAATATTTTACAACAGTTTTCTAATAGCGGCTAAAATGCAGTTGTTTCTAACATTACTTTTTTTAAAATACAAGAATATGACGTTACACTATCTTACCAGTGTGACGTTATTAATGGAAGACCCCTTTTTAAAAACAGTCTGAACGTATTTTTTCTTCCACAAACAAGACACGGTCGTAGTCACGTTGAGTTTAGTATTTTGTTTTAATCTGTAGGCCTACGAAGCATACGAATTGCAGAAACAGCTATTTCCACCAGCAGTACCGAACACGTGCTTGGGGTCAAGGTGAGGTCACAAGAGCCACCGTTGCTACGAGGTGGGGCGGGTAGTCTAGTCCTCATAGTCACCCTTTGCAAGGATTTCAATATTCATTTGAGATTGCGAAATAAAATAAAATCAGAGAGAAACTCTAGATTTAGGCGGGTTAAAATACCGATAAGTAAATTAGGCTATATCGATAGCTAGATTAGCAGGCTTAAGAGATGTAAGATTCATTTGAATAACTGCATTATTTTAGATTACCTTTTCCCGTGTAGTTGATAAATAGTTAACTGAAAATATCAGCGGAAAATTTGGACTAAAAAAGTGTGCTTTGAAAATTCCGCCGAAATTCCGAATCTTATTCTTAATCTACATTTAATCTTGATCTAGCACCGTCAGACCTAGCGCAATCGACCAATCGAAAAGAAATGCGCATATTCGAGTGTCCGTTTGACCTAAGTACAGTAATTGTCGATTTAATTACGAATAAGTGGAATGAGCAAATCGGCTCTTTCCGTAGAAGACATTTCCGTTTTTTTTCCGAATGTTTAAAACTTCGTAAAAAATCGACAAAAATTGGAACTCGGCGGAAAAATTCGGCGAAAATTAAATCAGCGGAGGAAAATCGCAACTGAAACGGAAAAATCGGATTTCCGCTAAAATTCGGAAAAGTCACATCCCTGCCTTCAGTAACACCACCTCCCCCTCTGTATAACACATGACCTAACCTTCAGTAACACTACCCTCCCCCTCTGTATAACACATGACCTAACCTTCAGTAACACTACCCTCCCCCTCTGTATAACACATGACCTAACCTTCAGTAACACTACCCTCCCCCTCTGTATAACACATGACCTAACCTTCAGTAACACTACCCTCCCCCTCTGTATAACACATGACCTAACCTTCAGTAACACTACCCTCCCCCTCTGTATAACACATGACCTAACCTTCAGTAACACTACCCTCCCCCTCTGTATAACACATGACCTAACCTTCAGTAACACTACCCTCCCCCCTCTGTATAGTACATGACCTCACCTTCGGTAGCACATATTGACGATGATATTCCTTGTGTAAAGATTTGCCATCTGTGCTCTCGTCATGCTTGGCGTGAATTGTCAGCTGGCTAGTAGATATGTAGATAGATTAGAAACACATAGTTAGATGGACATCAACCTCCATAACTAGATCTATAAATGGTCAGCTGGCTAGTAGATATGTAGATAGGTTAGAAACACATAGTTAGATGGACATCAACCTCCATAACTAGATCTATAAATGGTCAGCTGGCTAGTAGATATGTAGATAGGTTAGAAACACATAGTTAGATGGACATCAACCTCCATAACTAGATCTATAAATCGTCAGCTGGCTGGTAGATTTGTAGATAGATTAGAAACACATAGACGGACATCAACCTCCATAACTAGATCTATAAATGGTCAGTTGGCTAGTAGATATGTAGAGAGATTAGAAACACATAGTTAGATGGACATCAACCTCCATAAGTAGATCTATAAATGGTCAGTTGGCTAGTAGATATGTAGAGAGATTAGAAACACATAGTTAGATGGACATCAACCTACATAACTAGATCTATAAATGGTCAGCTAGCTAGTAGATATGTAGATAGATTAGAAACACATAGTTAGATGGACACCAACCTCCATAACTAGATCTATAAATGGTCAGCTGGCTAGTAGATATGTAGATAGATTAGAAACTCATAGTTAGATGGACATCAACCTCCATAACTAGATCTATAAATGGTCAGTTGGCTAGTAGATATGTAGATAGATTAGAAACTCATAGTTAGATGGACATCAACCTCCATAACTAGATCTATAAATGGTCAGCTGGCTAGTAGATATGTAGATAGATTAGAAACACAGTTGGATGGACATCAACCTCCATAACTAGATCTATAAATGGTCAGCTGGCTAGTAGATATGTAGAGAGATTAGAAACACATAGACGGACATCAACCTCCATAACTAGATCTATAAATGGTCAGTTGGCTAGTAGATATGTAGAGAGATTAGAAACACATAGTAAGATGGACATCAACCTCCATAACTAGATCTATAAATGGTCAGCTAGCTAGTAGATATGTAGATAGATTAGAAACACATAGACGGACATCAACCTCCATAACTAGATCTATAAATGGTCAGCTGGCTAGTAGATATGTAGATAGATTAGAAACACATAGACGGACATCAACCTCCATAACTAGATCTATAAATGGTCAGCTGGCTAGTAGATATGTAGATAGATTAGAAACACATAGTTAGATGGACATCAACCTCCATAACTAGATCTATAAATGGTCAGCTGGCTAGTAGATATGTAGATAGATTAGAAACACATAGTTAGATGGACATCGACCTCCATAAGTAGATCTATAAATGGTCAGTTGGCTAGTAGATATGTAGAGAGATTAGAAACACATAGTTAGATGGACATCAACCTACATAACTAGATCTATAAATGGTCAGCTAGCTAGTAGATATGTAGATAGATTAGAAACACATAGTTAGATGGACACCAACCTCCATAACTAGATCTATAAATGGTCAGCTGGCTAGTAGATATGTAGAAAGATTAGAAACACAGATGGACATCAACCTCCATAACTAGATCTATAAATGGTCAGCTGGCTAGTAGATATGTAGATAGATTAGAAACACATAGACGGACATCAACCTCCATAACTAGATCTATAAATGGTCAGCTGGCTAGTAGATATGTAGATAGATTAGAAACACATAGTAAGATGGACATCAACCTCCATAACTAGATCTATAAATGGTCAGCTGGCTAGTAGATATGTAGATAGATTATAAACACATAGTAAGATGGACATCAACCTCCATAACTAGATCTATATTTGTACAAAAAAAAATTACATTGTTTTAAAATTTATTTCTATGATATTCAATATGCTACGTTACAAGACCCCCCCCCTCCGTGTTTCTCCCAGAAATTTTTCTCCAAGGGTAGGGGGTGTGACGAACTTTAATTTCTGGGGCGGGGGGGGGGGGGGGGGGACTAAAATTTCCGAGGGCGACGACAGTATATGTTTTCTATGTACATTATTTTTCTCCATTTCATTCGGGGGAGGGGGGGGGGGGAGAGATGCCTTAATGAAACGCTTCACCATAACCTAACCCCTCCTCCTTTACATTATTTTCGGACGGTAGCCCGTCACAATTACGTACTAGTGTGTTGTAGGACAACTACGATGACGTACTTGCCAAGAGTCTTGACGAAAATCTCTTCCGGCCTGAACTGTCTGACGTCAAACTGTAACCGGAAGACGTTGTGTCCAGACGACACGTCATGGTACACGGGGTTGTCCAGGAAAAAATTCTCCTGTGGTGTAAACATAAGAATTGTATACAAGTTATACATACATTATGGTGGCATTTTTGTGGAGACATAGCGACATTTTCGTCTATCGTGAAGTCTTATTGTAGATTTAATACATTATGGCCGTTATACTTTCGAAAAATATTTTTTTAGACATAGATATCTGAACTGTTATTTAAAAATAGCTTAAAGGTTGATGCTGCCCTGTCTAAGTTTTGAAGGGGAGTAACTCTTAATTTACCGTTGCTTTTTATTTGATGTGTTGCATTCCTTAGGTGTTACTTTTTAAAGGGCCACTTATAAGGTACCTGACCTTACTTTTGGTAGAAATACCACCCGCCTCGGTATAGCACATGATCTATCAGGGTTTAGATATAATGGTTTTGAAATCTCGAAATATTATTAAGCCCCCCCCCCCCTTTGTAAAACAAATTCCGCTTTTTTTCCTAAGTGGTCGGTAACATCTTGGTTAGTGCTTTAATTTACTTTTTAACTCACGTATTCTCTGATCTACAACACCTTAAACCTCCATCTCTATCACCATCAACACTTTAATCCTTTCACCCACGCCCTTTATCCAATTCTCAATAAGTTCCCTTCCCCCCCCCCCTCTAATCGGTCTTATTCAGCACCCTAATCTTCTACCCCCTTTTGCCAACAGCACCTTAATCTTCCACCCCTTTTGCCAACAGCACCTTAATCTTCCATCCCTCTGACCAACAGCACCTTAATCTTCCATCCCTCTGACCAACAGCACCTTAATCTTCCACCCCTCTGACCAACAGCACCTTAATCTTCCACCCCTCTGACCAACCGCACCTTAATCTTCCACCCCTCTGACCAACAGCACCTTAATCTTCCACCCCTCTGACCAACAGCACCTTAATCTTCCAGCCCTCTGACCAACCGCACCTTAATCTTCCACCCCTCTGACCAACAGCACCTTAATCCAAAAAATTCTCACCCCCTCTCGGTGCTAGGTACCTTAATCTTACTATCCTATAATCAACAATACTGTCATCCCCCAACCTCTCCCCCGTACTTCTCCAACGCCCACCCCACCTCCCCGATATCCCCTGTACCTTAACCTCTCCCCCCCCCCATACCACAAGTACCTTAATCCTCCATCCCACATGCCCCCAATACCTTAATCCTCCACCCCCTCCATGTCCCCTGTACCTCTACCCTCCACCTTCCCTTTTCCATGTCCCCAGTACCTTAACCCTCCACCCCCCCTCCCCATGTCCCCAGTACCTTAACTATCCAGCCCCATGCCCCCTATACCTTAACCCCCCACCCCCATGCCCCCTGTACCTTAACCCTCCAGCCCTCTGGGTTAGAGTCCCCCTGCATCAGGTGCTGGATCTCACTGTACCTTAACCCTCCACCCCATGCCCCCAGTACCTTAACCCTCCACACCCCATGCCCCCAGTACCTTAACCCTCCACACCCCATGCCCCCTGTACCTTAACCCTCCACCTTCCCTTTTCCATGCCCCCAATACCTTAATCCTCCACCCCCTCCATGTCCCCTGTACCTCTACCCTCCACCTTCCCTTTTCCATGTCCCCAGTACCTTAACCCTCCAGCCCCCCCCCCCCCTGCCCACAGTACCTTAACCCTCCACCCCCCCCCCCCCATGCCCCCTGTACCTTAACCCTCCACCCCATGCCCCCTGTACCTTAACCCTCCACCCCATGCCCCCAGTACCTTAACCCTCCACACCCCATGCCCCCAGTACCTTAACCCTCCACACCCCATGCCCCCTGTACCTTAACCCTCCAGCCCCCCCCCTGCCCACAGTACCTTAACCCTCCACCCCCCCCATGCCCCCTGTACCTTAACCCTCCACCCCATGCCCCCTGTACCTTAACCCTCCACCCCATGCCCCCAGTACCTTAACCCTCCACCCCCTCCCCTCTGTACCTTAACCCTCCACCCCATGCCCCCAGTACCTTAACCCTACACCCCCCTCCCCCTGCCCCCAGTACCTTAACCCTCCACACCCCATGCCCCCAGTACCTTAACCCTCCACCCCCTCCCCCATGCCCCCAGTACCTTAACCCTCCACCCCCTCCCCCTGCCCCCAGTACCTTAACCCTCCAGCCCTCTGGGTTAGCATCCCCCGGCATCAGGTGCTGGATCTCACTGAACATCCGGCGCATCTCTGACGACATCCTCTGCAGCTCGTTGTCCATACTGGCCAGCTGACGCTCAGGGTTGAAGAAGCCCCTGGTCAAGGGCAGGGCACTGACCGGCATTGGGTTGGCCTGGTAAACTGGTAAAAAACATACGATAACAAGATTTCTGTACTGGCATAGTTATGGCATGTGTATATAGTACAACCCTCAGAACTTACCTGCCGTGTCTCGCATAGGATCTCTCACGTAGGTTTCTCTCGGGGCGTAGAAGGCGTTTTCTCGCGGGAACGTGGAACCTGACAGCGAGGAACCAGGGAACTGGGCGTCTCTAAAACTGGGGAAAAAGGAGTCAAAGACGTCTGGGCGGGAAGGTTCCATCGAGACGGGAACTTGTCGTTGTACCGACATGGTAGGCGACAGCTGTGGGAGGAACGGTTTGTGTTAGGGTAAATATTTACGGTTTGTGTAAGGGCGGGTACAAGTAAGGGTTAATATTTACGGTTTGTGTAAGGGCGGGTACAAATAGCAGTAAATATTTACAGTTTGTGTAAGTGCGGGTAAAGTAACGGTAAATATAGAAAGTTTGTGTAAGGGTATGCACAAGTAACGGTAAATATGTACAGTTTGTGTAAGGGCGGGTAAAGTAATGGTAAATATTTACGGTTTATGTAAGCGTAGGTACAAGTAACGGCAAATATTTACGGTTTATGTAAGGGCGGTGTCAGAGAATTACTAAATAATTTTGTTTTTAAACTTGTCTTCTGTGAGGGTGGGGATTTTATGAAGGCGGTAACGAATGAATCCAACAACACACCGTTCAAGTTCCAAATACAAAGTTCTTTATTAAAATTATAAATCAGTTCTATCTAACCAGCCTATTCTACACTCTCTACTGTTTACTACTACTACTAACTGTTCACTATACTACTAACTACACACTCCCGTGACCACTCCTAACACTATCTAACTGTTCTCTAGCTCTGCAAATTACAACCGTCTCTAACCGCTTCCTAACACCTTCTCTACTCTTCGCTAGCTACCTATCAACTCCTGGCCTATCGCTCTACTGCCCCACGCCTCAGTGGTCAGCTGACCATACCACGTGACCGGTCAGTCTCTGAATTTTCATTGGTCTACCTCTGACTAACACGCTAAAGCCTATTTCTGCTATCTACCTGGCTTCGACGCAACATTGCGTCATCACATCTTCCCTATGAATGTTGCGGGTACAAATTTTGTTGTATGACTTATTTAAAATGCAGATATTAGATACTCAAAAGCACCGTTGCTATCCTACTGAGAAACTTTGCGGACACATAATCCACCTGAAAAATTACCGACCAATTATTTTCCTGTCGTAAAAATTGCCGGGCACATTTTGAAGAGATCTTAAACATGTCTTAAACATCGTCCACCCATTTACTGGTATAAAATTGTAGTATCCACAGTATCCTATTAGAACTTTGTTCGAATTCTGCCTTCGTTTATAACTTCCACAACTTCTAGGCTAAAGAAACTTACCTGTAGTAAACTTGAGGCTACTCTACCTAATCAAACTTGTAGGCGACTGGGTTAGATCTTACACACCACTTTAATTGGGGGACGGTTAGCTGGTGACGTCACTGTCTTACTGTAGCGAATAGACCCAAATGGTGTTCGTTATTTATTTAAGCTTTTTTTTTCCCCTGAGTAAATGTTAGTCATGGGGGACGGGGAGGGTGGGTCAGTGGAAGCTTCAGGTGATGAGAACTGCTACAGCAAGTTCTAGTGCTGTTACGAGTCAGGCCGTACAGGTTTGACGCGCTGGTCGGTCGAATTCTTGCTCTCTGGTCGTGTTTTGATGCCGTCGTTTAATTAACACGGCGGTCTCAAACTGGGCGGGGCGGTTGTCAGAATCGCGGAAGGTTCAATGCAAATGTACAATATATAAGAAGAAAATACGTATAGACCTATATAATAAAAATATAATTTAAAAAAAACGGTATTGAATTCCATCATCGGATGTTTTTTTCTGTTGTTGCATTACAAAATTTTCGGTCCACAGAAGGTTTGTTAACTAGTGAAGTTTCGACCTATAGAAGGGTTTTGTTTACACGAATACGTATAAGTATGTGGGTATATATATATATATATATATATATATATATATATATATATATATATATTCATTGAGGGAGGAGTTGTTTCGATTAGTTGTGGAAGACGCAAAGATTTATTGATGTTTTAAGAGGGGGGGGGGGGGGGGGAATAAAAAGTGAAGAAACCATCGCTATAACATTAGATTAGAAAACCTGTTGGTGAAACCCACGGAACTAGGTAGTGGATCGGTCATCTCGGCCGTGATGGTTGTAGCGCCGTGTCACGTTAGAAAACCTGTTGGTGAAACCCGCTGAACTAGGTAGTGGACCGGTCATCTCGGCCGTGATGGTTGTAGCGCCGTGTCACGTTAGAAAACCTGTTGGTGAAACCCGCTGAACTAGGTAGTGGACCGGTCATCTCGGCCGTGATGGTTGTAGCGCCGTGTCACGTTAGAAAACCTGTTGGTGAAACCCACGGCACTAGGTAGTGGACCGGTCATCTCGGCCGTGATGGTTGTAGCGCCGTGTCACGTTAGAAAACCTGTTGGTGAAACCCACGGAACTAGGTAGTGGACCGGTCATCTCGGCCGTGATGGTTGTAGCGCCGTGTCACGTTAGAAAACCTGTTGGTGAAACCCACGGAACTAGGTAGTGGACCGGTCATCTCGGCCGTGATGGTTGTAGCGCCGTGTCACGTTAGAAAACCTGTTGGTGAAACCCACGGAACTAGGTAGTGGACCGGTCATCTCGGCCGTGATGGTTGTAGCGCCGTGTCACGTGATGGCCGGTGTCACGTGATGGGCACCACGCTCGACTCGGTACTTTTCCGTTAATGGGTACCAGGTGGACCATAACGTAAACTTGGCTGTAAATCTACTGTCTGATTATAATTTTATTGAATAGTTACTGTTACGTTTGATATGTTAGGGTTAGATTGTGCTAGATTTTGTCTAAACAACATTAAAAATAGCAAACAAGTAATAGGGCTATTTACCAAAGAAGCAGTAGCGTAGCGAGGGGGCGGGGGGGGGGACATATGTCCCCGGGCGCCGACCTTAGGGGGCGCCAAAATGGGTTGTAAAATAAATTGAAAGGTTGAAGGGGGTGCAAATTGAAATTTTGGGGGGGGGGGTTCAAATCGAAATCTTGAGGGGGGTGCAAATCGAAAAGTTTGTCCCCGGGCGCCGGGAAGGGTCGCTACGCCTCTGCAAAGAAGAAAAAAGAGCAGCGGAATCGTCTTAGCACTTAAAAACAGCTGGGTGAATTATTAAAAAAAAAAAAGAAATAACTTTAAAAAAGACAACTACAGTCTAAAATAAAAACAAAGAAGTAGACTGATACATTCACTTACTCACGCCAAAGGTACAGTTTCTTAATCTTATCTGTACTTTACTGTCATTCCTCTTTACATGACATTACTGCCCCCCTCCTCCTACTTGATGTACAACCCATGTTGACTCAGTGAACGTTGGTTTTACCTTGGTAGATCAAGTTTTCTTGTCGCTACATTTTAGGCCTGGGACTACCAAATAGGTTTGGGGCTATGTTTTATGTCAGTGTCTAGAGGCTTATGCATAGGCTAGTAGCTACATATTGGATACAGGCTACATCTATATTTAATGGCTACAGTATTGGCTACATTAGTGACTGGATGGATGCCACATGGCACTAATCCGTTGAACAGGAAACACACGACTATTACATTTCCCAAGATAAGACAACTTGTATCCAATATTGCTAATAGTTGTTTGCCTATATATTGCATGTATTCCCCAATTTTTTTATTGTCTGTCACTATTTAAGCATATATAAGCTTGGCATAAAAACTAAATCTGCCCCTTCATCCTCCACATCAGCATCTCTACACACAATTAAAATAATTAACTTTAGTTATTTTATAACTATTTTTTTTTAAATTTGTTTCATAACTATTCTAACTTAAAAGAAAAATGCCTGACGTGAAGTTGTAGGTACAGAGGCCTAGTGACTCGTTCCAGCACCCGGGGCAGATTATCAATTGTGCACCCCCCCCTCCCCTCAGTCCCATTTCTATAAATAGTTATTCCTGTCTATAAACCCCCCCAGTTGAAAAGGTTTGTAGGGCTTCTTACCAGTTGCTATCCCGTAACAGTTTCTACTCTGGTGTCTCAAAATTGATATAGAAAACAGTTAATCGAGTAAATCGGTGTGTAAAGCCTTGTAGTTGTTTATTTTCGTTACTTTGTGTATAATTCAATACTTCAGCTTAAAATAGGCTTTTTCATTAAATTTTTTTCTACCCCTTTTGGCGCTCCTTTAAGGTTGGCGCCCCACTTGCCCTCCTCTAGCTACGCCACCGTGTAGGTATGACTTTAAAAATGTAAATCCTGATACCATTAAACATTGAGGTGTTTGCCTTTCCCCAGACACCTGTGAGTGATGCCCCTGTGAGGGAGGCAGGTGAACTAGGCTCGGGCAGGTAGATGTGTGAGATGACATCAGAACACCTGGACTCACCTGAGGCACCTGTCCTGACACCCACCAGCAGTGAGTTTATTGAGGTGCCGGAGGACCCCTACGCTGACGACAATGATGACAAGAGGTTGTGGATAGGCAACCTGGACACTCGGATGACGGAGTAAGTGGACGTAATAATGGTGGTCTTGGTGTGTGGATAATTTATTCATGTGCATTGGGAATGAATAGGGTTGGCTTGGATGCTACCATTATTTGTTTTGCTGTAAACATAGTATGATTAGATTTCAATAATATTGGTTTGTATTGTAAACAGTAGTAAACGTTTTGATTAGGATGTGAATATATTGTGTATTGGTTTGTTTAACTTTATAAAAATAAGATTTAAAATGATTTTGTAACTAAATAATATATCTGGTTTTGTTTAAACAAAAGTTATTAAATGAATTATAAGCCAACTATTTTAAAATACTCATCAATTGTAGAGTTTAACTTAATCATTTGTAACATACTACAATCAACTTACTGCTGTGTTGACTTACATTTATTTGTACCTACATTATAGGTTTGCTATCCTGAAGCTGGTCCAAAAGTTTGGCTCTATCAGAAAGATGGATTGTATCTATCACAAGACAGGGCCAGATAAAGGGAAGTCAAAAGGATATTGTTTTGTTAGTTTCCACACATGGGAGGTAATTCAACCAGTAGTGAAACACATTGTTGCCCATTTCTTTTTCTGTAGTGTCTATTACAGTTAGTTTACATCACAAGATTTACCTGTATTTTTCATTAGTTCACCTGAACATAATTACTTGTTATTGTCCATTAGTTCACCTAACCATATTTACCTGCATTGTCCATTAGTTCACCTAACCATATTTACCTGCATTGTCCATTAGTTCACCTGACCATATTTACCTCTATTGTCCATTAGTTCACCTGACCATACTTACATGTAATGTCCATTAGTTCACCAGATCATATTTACCTTTAATGTCCATTAGTTCACCTGACCATATTTACCTGTAATGTCCATTAGTTCACCTGACCATATTTACCTGTAATGTCCATTAGTTCACCTGACCATATTTACCTTTAATGTCCATTAGTTCACCTGACCATATTTACCTGTAATGTCCATTAGTTCACCTGACCATATTTACCTCTATTGTCCATTAGTTCACCTGACCATACTTACCTGTGTTGTCCATTAGTTCACCTGACCATACTTACATGTAATGTCCATTAGTTCACCAGACCATATTTACCTTGTTATTGTCCATTAGTTCACCTGACCATATTTACCTGTAATGTCCATTAGTTCACTTGACCATATTTACCTGTAATGTCCATTGGTTCACCTGACCATATTTACCTGTAATGTCCATTAGTTCACCTGACCATATTTACCTGTATTGTCCATTAGTTCACCTGACCATATTTACCTGTATTCTCCAGTCATACCTGCCTATATAAAACTACTTTAACCCTTTCCTCCCTGTGACTTGGCAGGCAGCAGAAAAGGCCAGGAAAACCCTGGATGGTAAAATGATTATGTCACGTATGATCTACGTCAAGTGGGCACGCAGTTCCAAACAGGTAGGAAGTGAACAAATACATCAGTTATACATGTCAAAGCTTACATTTTATGTACCAAATATTATCATTGGCTCTGTTGACGTGGGTGTATTTAAGGAGAGCTGCTCAAACCCAAGGCTAGTGGAGAGGTGTGGCTGCAGACCTTCAATCCCCAGGGGGCATAAAGGAATAAGTCTATTGACATTAAACTGTTGCTTTTACTTTTAGACCTACCATGAAATGATTAAATTCAGATTTACATCTACTGTCTATATATATAATTCTCTTCATTGGGACCATGCGAGACACCAAGACGTAAGCTTTACGGACTATATCACTACCACCCCCACCAGTCTGGTGAGCTGTTTACAATCGTTGTGACGGCTATTAGGGGTAGATAATTTAGTTTTTAAACAATTTGAAACTAAGGGCAGATAATAACATTGTCGACTGTAAACTGTCGACACAGATCGCTGCTTTCACTGAGGCGGAAGGGGGGGGGGGGGGGGGGGGGGTAAGAGGAGTGGAAAGTGAGGGTGAGGATAATCATCCTTCATTAGCTACAGATGGTGTTTTAAAGCAACATATTTTCAGTCACAGCATTGGTAGAGTCGAATTAAAAAATTATGAATTACTGAAAAATAGGAATTAAACTAAATAGCGGCGTATGCTACGTCGCGTGTCAACTCGTTTATTTTAATTACAAAGTCACACAATCAAAGTCACTAAGGATTGGTGAACTTTGATAAAATCAGACCCTTGTATGATTTAATGCAAAGGGAAACAATCCAATTTAAACACTGCCCCAGACTCCCAAGGGAGAGCACTCACAATGAATCCTTACATTTTCAGAACCCAGTAGCAGCTAAGACAGTGGCAAAATGTAAACCAAAGCCCACAGAACAGACGCCAGCCCCCTCGTTACCTCCTGTGGCAGCTGCAGCGCTGTCGTTGTCATCGTCATTAGCCATGGCCAAGTAAGTTTGTTTTAGTCACTCAGTTTTGGCCATGTAAGTTTATTTAGTCAATCATGGCCATATAGGTTTGTTTAGTCAGTCAGTTTTGGCGGTGTAAGTTTATTTAGTCAATCATGGCCATATAGGTTTGTTTAGTCAGTCAGTTTTGGCCGAGTAAGTTTATTTAGTCAGCCATGGCCAAGTAAGTTTGTTTAGTCAGTCAGTTTTGGCCATGTAAGTTTATTTAGTCAATCATGGCCAAATAAGTTTGTTTAGTCAGTCAGTTTTGGCCGAGTAAGTTTATTTAGTCAATCATGGCCAAATAAGTTTGCGTAGTCAGTCAGTTTTGGCCGAGTAAGTTTATTTAGTCAATCATGGCCAAATAAGTTTGTTTAGTCAGTCAGTTTTGGCGGTGTAAGTTTATTTAGTCAATCAAGGCCAAATAAGTTTGTTTAGTCACTCAGTTTTGGCCGTGTAAGTTTATTTAGTCAATCATGGCCAAATAAGTTTGTTTAGTCACTCAGTTTTGGTCATGTAAGTTTATTTAGTCAATCATGGCCAAATAAGTTTGTTTAGTCACTCAGTTTTGGTCATGTAAGTTTATTTAGTCAATCATGACCAAATAAGTTTGTTTAGTCAGTCAGTTTTGGCCATGTAAGTTTATTTAGTCAATCATGGCCAAATAAGTTTGTTTAGTCACTCAGTTTTGGTCATGTAAGTTTATTTAGTCAATCATGGCCAAATAAGTTTGTTTAGTCACTCAGTTTTGGTCATGTAAGTTTATTTAGTCAATCATGACCAAATAAGTTTGTTTAGTCAGTCAGTTTTGGCCATGTAAGTTTATTTAGTCAATCATGGCCAAATAAGTTTGTTTAGTCACTCAGTTTTGGTCATGTAAGTTTATTTAGTCAATCATGACCATATAGGTTTGTTTAGTCAGTCAGTTTTGGCCGTGTAAGTTTATTTAGTCAATCATGGCCAAATAAGTTTGTTTAGTCAGTCAGTTTTGGCCATGTAAGTTTATTTAGTCAATCATGGCCAAATAAGTTTGTTTAGTCACTCAGTTTTGGCCATGTAAGTTTATTTAGTCAATCATGGCCAAATGAGTTTGTTTAGTCAGTCAGTTAGGGCCGTGTAAGTTTATTTAGTCAATCATGGCCAAATAAGTTTGTTTAGTCACTCAGTTAGGGCCGTGTAAGTTTATTTAGTCAATCATGGCCAAATAAGTTTGTTTAGTCAGTCAGTTAGGGCCGTGTAAGTTTATTTAGTCAATCATGGCCAAATAGGTTTGTTTAGTCACTCAGTTTTGGTCATGTAAGTTTATTTAGTCAATCATGGCCAAATAAGTTTGTTTAGTCAGTCAGTTAGGGCCGTGTAAGTTTATTTAGTCAATCATGGCCAAATAAGTTTGTTTAGTCAGTCAGTTAGGGCCGTGTAAGTTTATTTAGTCAATCATGGCCAAATAAGTTTGTTTAGTCACTCAGTTTTGGTCATGTAAGTTTATTTAGTCAATCATGACCAAATAAGTTTGTTTAGTCAGTCAGTTTTGGCCATGTAAGTTTATTTAGTCAATCATGGCCAAATAAGTTTGTTTAGTCACTCAGTTTTGGTCATGTAAGTTTATTTAGTCAATCATGACCATATAGGTTTGTTTAGTCAGTCAGTTTTGGCCGTGTAAGTTTATTTAGTCAATCATGGCCAAATAAGTTTGTTTAGTCAGTCAGTTTTGGCCATGTAAGTTTATTTAGTCAATCATGGCCAAATAAGTTTGTTTAGTCACTCAGTTTTGGCCATGTAAGTTTATTTAGTCAATCATGGCCAAATAAGTTTGTTTAGTCAGTCAGTTAGGGCCGTGTAAGTTTATTTAGTCAATCATGGCCAAATAAGTTTGTTTAGTCACTCAGTTAGGGCAGTGTAAGTTTATTTAGTCAATCATGGCCAAATAAGTTTGTTTAGTCAGTCAGTTAGGGCCGTGTAAGTTTATTTAGTCAATCATGGCCAAATAAGTTTGTTTAGTCAGTCAGTTAGGGCCGTGTAAGTTTATTTAGTCAATCATGGTCAAATAAGTTTGTTTAGTCAGTCAGTTAGGGCCGTGTAAGTTTATTTAGTCAATCATGGCCAAATAAGTTTGTTTAGTCACTCAGTTTTGGTCATGTAAGTTTATTTAGTCAATCATGACCAAATAAGTTTGTTTAGTCAGTCAGTTTTGGCCATGTAAGTTTATTTAGTCAATCATGGCCAAATAAGTTTGTTTAGTCACTCAGTTAGGGCCGTGTAAGTTTATTTAGTCAATCATGGCCAAATAAGTTTGTTTAGTCACTCAGTTAGGGCCGTGTAAGTTTATTTAGTCAATCATGGCCAAATAAGTTTGTTTAGTCACTCAGTTAGGGCCGTGTAAGTTTATTTAGTCAATCATGGCCAAATAAGTTTGTTTAGTCAGTCAGTTAGGGCCGTGTAAGTTTATTTAGTCAATCATGGCCAAATAGGTTGTTTAGTCAGTCATAGTGAAGTTAGTTAATTTAGTTAATTTAGTTAGTCTAGTTCAAGTAAATTTGTTTTTTTTCAGTCATAATCTATTATTGCTATTTTGTCAAATTAGTCTTTAGACATTGCCACATTTATTGGAATTGTGTGGTTGTTATTTGATTTTTTTTCTTTATTAATAGTTCTGTGAAATTGAATTTCTAACTTTCTTTGAAATTAGAAGTGACAATTCTTAGAAATTAAAAGAATCTTGTGATTAGATACACGCCATTCTAACAGAAATTTCTGATGACCCCCCCCCCCCTTTCAGCACAGCAACAAAGATCGAAGCAATAGAGGCTAAGCTGCGTCTGATGGAAGAAGGGGAGAAGGACGTCAGCATTGACACCATACTTAAACCATACCCCGGGTTCAAACCCACACCCTCAGGCGTGAAAGCAAATACTCACCGGACCGCTCCCTACAGAAAGATCCAGAAAGGTGACCACAGGAAAAGGTGGAAATAATGAGTTTTGTAAATGTAGATCAGTAGATGTTTTGTGTTGTGGTAGGTCCTTGTGACTTGCGGTTACTGTATAGTTGACTTGTGAATGTTGGGGTTGATGTTATTGTGGGTATGACTTTAGAATGTGAGGTATTAATTAGATCTGACTTGATAATGGTAAGTTTATTGAAGTATGACTTGAGAATGGTAAGTTTATTGAAGTATGACTTGAGAATGGTAAGTTTATTGAGGTATGACTTGAGAATGGTAAGTTTATTGAGGTATGACTTGAGAATGGTAGGTTTATTGAGGTATGACTTGAGAATGGTAGGTTTATTGAGGTATGACTTGAGAATATTAGGTATTAATTAGATATGACTTTAGAATATTAGGTTTTATGGAGGTATATTTGTGAATGTTAGATTTGATGAAGGTATGATTTGAGAATATTAATTTCAATTTAAGAAAATTTTTAGAATGTCAGTATTAATAAAGGTATGACCTGTAAATGTCATGTCTGATGTAGATATGACATGTGAATGTCATTTTGTGAGTTTGGTTTGTAGTAACTATGACCATTGAATGTCCAGAATGATGTAGCTATGACATACGAATGTCAGAATTGAGTTAGGTTTGCCTGCTGACAGTTTGATAACTTGTTGCTACTTTGTATGATCTAGAATGTTGTTGGTCAGATGTTTTTAACTGTCATGTTTGAAATTGAGTTGATTTGTGTATTGATTTCCACATTAGTCTTCATCTTTTTGTTTTAGCGACAATGTACAGATTTAATGAATATAAAAACTTGAAAACAAATATTAGTTTCAACTGGTCATTTTTAGAGTGTTGTGCGATGTGTCTTCTAGCTCAACTGTACTCAATGTGATGTTCCTTCAATCCAACTATCCTACATGAGATGTGGATACTTATCCAACCATACTACATGAGATATGAATACTTTTCCAACCATCCTACATGAGATATGGATACTTATCCAACCATACTACATGAGATATGAATACTTTTCCAACCATCCTACATGAGATATGGATACTTATCCAACCATACTACATGAGATATGAATACTTTTCCAACCATCCTACATGAGATATGGATACTTATCCAACCATACTACATGAGATATGAATACTTTTCCAACCATCCTACATGAGATATGGATACTTATCCAACCATACTACATGAGATATGAATACTTTTCCAACCATCCTACATGAGATATGGATACTTATCCAACCATACTACATGAGATATGAATACTTTTCCAACCATCCTACATGAGATATGGATACTTATCCAACCATCCTACATGAGATATGGATACTTATCCAACCATCCTACATGAGATATGGATACTTATCCAACCATCCTACATGAGATATGGATACTTATCCAACCATCCTACATGAGATATGGATACTTATCCAATGATCCTACATGAGATATGGTTACTTATCCAACCATCCTACATCAGATATGAACACTTATCCAACCATCGTACATGAGATATGGATCCTAATCCAACCATCCTATATGAGATATGGATACTTATCCAACCATCCTACATGTGAAGTTGCTTCAAAATCAAACATTCTGAATTTCTGTAAATGTAGCTAAAATTAAGCAAATTTAGACATTGTTATAAACATTTTGTCAGTTAAACTAAGTCCCCAGACTCCCCCAATCAATAAGCCCCTGTATAACAACCCAATCCTTAAAAAATTACACTTGGACATTACCCTCCAGTCGATCACTAAACATGACAGTGTTGGGGTTAGGGATAGGAACATATCAGCGAATGTTCTGGATGGAATGTGTTGTTTGTCAATCTACTGTTGGTTTCCCTGTTTTGTATTCTATAGTCTGCCTACATGAGACGGAGTGGTCTAGCGTTAGAGAGCTGGACTGCTAACCCGTAAGTCTCGAGTTCAAATCCGGGTTCAAGTCAGTAGACCGTCCCTGAGTCCACCCAACTCTAATGGGCACCTAACTCACGTTAGGGAAAGTAAAGGCAGCTGGGCATAGTGCTGACCACACTATCTCTTCATATGCTGAAGTCACAGAAACAAGTGAACTCTACTTCACTTGCCCTATAGACCGTCAGGTTTGAAAGGGAAACTACTTACTTTAGTCTGCCTACAGAAAGTATGAAATATGATTTATTCTGTACAATAGTGTACAATGTCAGCCCCATTCCAGGATTTTTATACAGTACCCAAGCATTATATAACATACTAACATCTCTCTGGGGGGGGGGGGGGGGATATTTTCTGAACGCAAGTACGCAGAGTTTCTTCCAGACGGAGCCCTTTGGCATTTCTATAAGGCCGCTCCTCCCCCCCTCTCCCCCCTTTTACTTTCTCGTATATACGAAGTATAGAGAAAGTCTTGTAATCGTGCAAAAAAAAATCGAGATTTTTACAAATCTCGACGTTTTACACCTCACTGATACGGAAAAACATAATTTTGCAATTTTGTCCGTATGTCTGTGTGTGTGTAAACACGATAACTTGAGTACCGTTACAGCTAGGTTGATGAAATTTCATAAATAAGTATTTTATCAAAATCGTAGATCCTGATCAACTTTTGAGCGATTTCCGATAACCGGAAGTGGTACTTTTTCTACTTTGAATTTTTCAAAAGCCTATAACTTGAGTACTATTTCAGATAGATAAATGAAATTTCACATGTAAGTAAAAGATCTAATTCTCTACCTTCTGTTAAATTTTGAGTAATTTCCGTTGACCGAAAGTAGTAAATTACGCTATTTCCGATTTCTCAAAAAACGCATGTAAATTTATAAAGTAGCGTACTAATAATATTGCGCACTATTATGCACATTTGGTTTTGGCGTTCGCTTGGTGCGCAATTCTTTTTTCTACTAGATTTTATTCTATTTTTAAAAGTTTAAGTAAACAAAAATCATGTCTATACTCCGAGTTGCCATCCGACGTAGTGTTATATTAGAATATTCGAGAAAGTTTAGGGGAGATCACCCCCGGTTTATTTTGATACAGTTTGCTAATACATAAGCAGGCCAACAACACTCAACTGGTAGTCCACGCAAATCATTTCCAAATTTTCTGTTGGGGGCAGACTTGATTCAATATACGACTCGCTTAAAACTTAAATATAAACATTAGACCTAATACTAATTTTTAAACAAAAGTTTATCCGGCTAAACTCTCAAAAGCTATTTTAATCCACTTGTTTGGCTCTCCCAATATTGTACTTAATAACCTCGAGATAACCTGATAAAGATATTATCTAAAATTTTTAAAACGTTGACACTGAAAAAAATATTCATATTTTGATTAAATATAGATACCAGCCCTGTATATTTTTGTTTTTAATTGAAAATTTACCTAAATTAATTTTTTTATAAAAACTAAAATGTTTTCATAGAAAGACCATAAAAGAAGTTTAGAAATGATAGTTTGATTAATATGTTTCCCGTTATAGATCGAGCTAATCCGAAAAAAAGATTTGAAGCAGAATGAGAATATTATTCTACCTATGTTTAGCATTAATACCGCCACTAAACAGTAGATCGTAGATCTTGATACATATATAATGTTAGGGTTTCCGCTAGAGGGCAGTCGTCAAACAAGGGAGATAACGTTGTCGAGATGGGCGGAAAAACAAACGTACTACTCTATAAATAGAGTTGGGCTGGCGCGTTATGGAAATCGTTTTGGTTGGGAGGGAGTGTGCATTGTTAAATAAATTCCAAAGGGAGTGTGCGTTATTTTATTGCTGCATATCCTTGAAATAATTTTTTAAAAATTCAATCTAATCCAGATTTTAATAAAAAAATGCATAAACTGTAACTAGCCAAATTCTTTTTTTTTTATCATCCAGTTGTTCGTGTGTATATTAAAGATGAATAAAAAACGTTTAGATTCGTGCGAGGCAGGTGTATCCATTAGTTTGATGACGTGGCATCTCAAGACTGTCTTTACGGCCCCAGGATCAAACAATGTTTTCAGGCGTCTCTCCGGGGTAGGGGAGCCCAAGGAACATGTCCAAAGCCTCTTCTCCCACCCCCGACTTAATCAAAATGTATCTAATTTAGGTAGAAACATATTTCAACCTGTGTTCGTTCTCCCCGTGAATATTAAATGTTCCACCCTTCGAAAGTCTCACATGCCCCCCCCCCCCCCCCGAAAAAAAACACACCCTGACCAAACATAAAATTGACATAAGCTTACTGCTAGAGCCCCACACCCCTTTTGACACCCTACCTCCACGACTTAAAATACATTCAAATAAATGCCGCGAGATAACTTGTTCAAGAATTGAGCATTAAATATGAAATCTAAACTACTGTATTTAGAAGGAATAAACTTAATAGTAACCAGCTTTTCGACTAAAGGCTTTCTACAGATATAATTATATTGTTTACCATTGTAAAACTTTTCTATTTCGTGTCCTCATGGAATGGGGTCGCCCGGTGAAGCCAGAGCCCTTCCCGAACCCACATATGACGTTACTAAGGCATAGCTGGGGGTGGGTGGGGGGGGAGAGGGGGAGAGGGGCGTCGCGTATAATGAACTTCTTAACTATTAAGGTTTAGGTTTGAATGTACAGTTCATTATTTTATAGGTAAATTTTGAGATTTTCCAACTAGGTGTCACCCCCTAAATGGTATCCCCCCCCCTAACCCTCCCTGTGACGCTACTGCATGTTAGATCCAGGTATGAGAAATACCTCTAAAGTTCATCCTAGAAATTGCAATGTAAACACCATTAAGTATCGATATCTTCATTTCATCAGTATCGAGACCCCATTTAATAGTTGTTTTGAACGATCCTATTGACGATAACTCCCGCTAACAAGCCGCGACGTCACTCCGTGTTTTGCTCGGACTAATTAACATAATTTAAACATCCGTCATGCTCTGCTCGCCAAAGCCTACCGTGTACACCGCCCTCTGGCGGGATTCCTGTAATGCACATTTCGATGATATCGGTGGCGGGATTTAATTACAAGCGATCAGACGCGTACAGAAAATAAAATAAATTGTAGTTGAATGTCGGGTGTTGTTGAAAAAACGTATATTGTAAACACATTTTATTGCCTTATATCTACACATCACAGATATTAAAATAATAGGGGTTTTCGAATGGAGTGTATTTTAAAAATTTATTTTTATCAGAAATTTTGCTCAGGGAGAGGGATTTGAAACTTTACTTGGGTGGGGCTATCATATATAGTGATGTCTCAAAGAAAATGTTTAAATATATAACAGCATAAGAAAGGCAGGCTGAAATCGAAGTCAATGGCCTCAATGGCGCATAACCAGTTGACACGTTTCCTTAATTATTTTGGAGGGGGATCACTTCCAACACTAAAATTAAGAAAGAAGAAGAAGATAACACCATACATAGATGAGTAGTTTATCAGTTTCTTACTTACAGGTAACACTCGCTCATGAATGAAGTAATCTTCACAACCCATTTGAACCTAAAACTCCCAATCACCAAATCACTTCTCCATTTCTCATGATGTTACACTTGTAGATTAGCCAATAATGATTTCCTCAGACGATGCAATACAATTTAGCTATGTTGGGGGGGGGGGGGGGGGGAGAAGGAGGACTGGTGTAGCGCTCTCTTTCTTTATATATATATATATATATATATATATATATATATATATATATATATATATATATATATATATATATATATATATACATATTTATGTGAATGTGGCTGTGTATAGAAAGTAATGAACTGGGAACATTGAATAAAAAATGCTTACCCCAGGCGCCATAATAACCCCCGCTTCGTTTCCCCTAGTACACCCATATGCAGCAGCATAGATAAAGAACTGTACTTGTTAATGAGCGAATTTAAACAGGGAAAAACGCTACTTAAATTATTTTTTGATTCGCCTTGCCGAAGGCGGTCTTGGTTTGAAAATGCAGCTGAATTTAAGTTTCAATGGTGTCAAACAATGTTAATCCCGTTAGTCGTAAACTGATCAGAAATCTGGCCAACGTATCTGCAGATTAAACTGTGGAGAATAGCTATTGGTTGACTTTAAAGGTTAAGTTTCAATTATTTAATTTTTTTCAATAACAACTTCCTGATGTATTTATTTTTCAAATTACTTTATATTATTTTGAAAAATCAAGTGTTTTTTTTTTCCGCGTATACAGAGTTTAGAGAAAGCATTGTAATCGTGCACCAAATAAAATGAAATTTTAACAAATTTCGCAGTTTTAAAACCCCCTATTTTATCGTATACTGAATAGAAAGGATTATTGTAACCGCGAAAAAAAATTCTAAATCGATATTATGACAAGAATTGTTTATGTTTTACAACCTATCAGTGCATAAAAAACTTAAGTTTTGCAATCCTGTTAGTCTGCGTTTGTGTGTGTCTGTGTATCTGTAAACAAGATAATTTGAATACCGATTCATACATTAGTGTAATATCAAATTTTTAGTTTTCTATTAACTTTTTAGCGATTTCCGGTAAACAAAAGTGATACGTAATCTACTTCTGGTCTCTTGAAATCCGATAACTTCAGTACAATTAAAGTTCGATAGGCGAATTCTCACATACAAATATAAGTTTGTATGCGCAGATTTCTATCAACTTTTGAACGATTTCCAGTAAATCGGAAGTGGTATTTTACTCGATTTCCGTGGGAACACGATATCTTGAGAACAATTTTAGTTACGTAAATAAAGCAAAAGATGTTACAGTTGGATCACTTTTGATTTTTAAGTGATTTCCGATAGTGGTATGTTACTCTATTTCAGGTTTCTTAAAATACTAAAATATCAACAGCTAGATAAAACTCGTACTTTTGTATATTATGGTTTTTGCTGTTTTCTGTCAAATTTTCAGTGATTTTCAGTGACCGCAAGTAGTACTATACGCTATTTCAGATTTCTCAAAAAAGGTAATCAATGTTTCTTTAAGAAAGTACTTATAGGGCGTGTAAGTAGGTTACCAGCTTCTCGTTATCATTCTTGCCAGCTAGTATTTTAAAGAAATATTTTTATTAAATCGGTAAAGATTTTTAAAAATTCGAAAAGTTACATTCCGCTATTGTTATTTTAAATAGTAAACAATGAAAATGATTGACTACTAGATTAGATTACCTTTAAAAAAATATAGCCAATGTTAAATTGTGATTTTAAAGAAAATCGTATAGCTTGTTATTATTCGATATATATATATATATATATATATATATATATATATATATATATATATATATATATACATATATATATATATATATATATATATATATATATATATATATATATATATATATATATATATATATATATATATATATATATATATATATATATATAAGATGATGCTTATGGTGCTAGTTCTCTGTATGACGGCAACATCTCCATTATGTACCTCTAGTACGTCCGCCACAGCTTGTGCCCACCTTCCCACTTTTAATTTAAACGAACCTGTGTATTTGTGTCAGAAGCCACCCCAGCGACGCCGCCGGCCATACACGAATAATAATTGATGTAATGGCAGTAAGCAGCAAATCCGGGCGAGTTTTCAATCCGCCCGAACAGATCAACTGACGCCGAGTCAACGGCGATAGAGTTTCAGTCAACTGTTGAGTCAGTCAAGCGTTGAGTCAGTCGAGCGGATTACTTGAAGAAATTTGGTACGAGACGGTATTTACTTGTGAAATTTTTGCTTTTATTATAAGGCGTATATAATAATGTGTAGTTTTAATTTATTAGCAATTTATTAGAAAAGTATTACATTGTTTTGGGTTGTGAAAATAATCACAGTGTTTAGAAGGGCATTTTTATTAAAATGAATACCACGCCAACCTTGACATTCCGATGATATAAAATATATGAAATCGGATTCGCGTGCTATTCGGAAATTTAGTTGTAAAATAAAGTGTTAGGAATACACGGTGTATCCTTTATTATGACCGAGTAATTTTTAAATTTACTCATTTAATTAAGGTGACCGACTAATGTTTGTTATTAGATGTTGGTGTTATTTTGTGTGTCGGGATCACCTAATGCCTTCAGTGTAGATAAAAGAGACACAACATGTTTTTTTAAAAAATACATTTGTTTAGTAAAGGTGTAAATTCTTCCAATTTTTCGTCCCCGTTCTCATCGCCTTGTGACGCCATTGTTTTTATCTAAAATACAAGGACGATTTTTTTTTTGGGATCACTAGCTCAACATTGGTGTCCGAACAAGTATTTCTTTTCAGGTAGCTTTGAAGTTTTCCAGTGTCTAACTTGGGAATTCCAAGCTCCCCCCCCCCCCACCCTGAGAAAAATGCCTAAAAGAAACCCTGGTTCATTAGTAACCTTAACATTCGTCAAAACCATGGCCATTATAACTAAATATAAATATAAGCCAATATGTTTCACAGCTAATTAATGTGAAGAAAAATTAACATAATAGAAATTGGACAACGTTAATAAAGAATTTGCATGAAATATTTAATTTAATTAGACGAGTATCTCAAGGTCACTGGGATAACTGCGGTTACTAGTATAAAAGAAATGTAATAGAACCGCAAGGGCGCGACTACACACAATTTACTGGTGATGACCTTAAGTGTGCTCGTCCGTGACACGCACAGTGTGTGAATCGGTGCTCATCAACAGAAATTAGCTCAAAGAGTTAAATGGGAATTAAAGGAACTAGATGAAGACGTTTGATAGCGACAATAGGATTTAGCTGAAGGAATTTCATTATTCCATAGCTTATAGCTTTATTAATTTTTAGAAGTCTTACTTTTATAAAAAACTACATCTTTTCCTTTAAGCTGAACTGTTCAATTTTCATATTACTCGGTAACCTTGGAAATTATTTTTATTTAAAAAAGCGGCTTTTGTTAGTCAACCTCTGATATTTTATAAGCTTTTATTGAACTTGATTCATCATGCTTTTTTTTTTACTTCCTCGGTCAAGGATCGAAATTTGCGGGCGAAATTTCAAACACTTGTACTGGACCGATTTTTTTCAAACTTGACCAGATAACAATGCAATATTTAACATAATTAGAGGTTTAATTAACTTTTTTTTTTAATTTCCTAATTTCGGTTAAACAAAATTATTGTACACCAACTTCTAAAATTTAACTCCGATGACCTGACATACAAATGTCTGGTTTCATCAGTGTACGCCGTTTTCGTTAAAAATAATAGAGGTATATCAGTGTCTGTGTGAGTGTGTCTGTGTGTGTTCTCCGGATAGCGTGTAATAATTATGATGAATCGATAACCAACTAGAAATCTAAAAAGAAGAATCTGCCCTGGGCTAAAATGAATAAGTCAAAATGTACAAATGAAAGAAAATACAATGAACCCGATGCAAACATACGTTTTTAAGATATAATTTGTTTTCGTGACTGTTTTATTATTTATTTTCTAATTTTTTAAATGTCCAACAGATACCAAATCCTTTCAACTCATTATCCAATAATTACAAAGTCCAATATTGATCAGAATATCATACATTATAATATTCACTCATAAATTAATTAATTAATCAAATTATGCGTAAATCTGGTAGCACTAAAATAAAACCCGGTAATATTACACACATAAATTTAATAGACATACACTCACAAACAGGCTCTTTATATATGCATACACAACACACACACAAACACATATATAAATAAATAAATAAATATATAAATAAATTATATATATATATATATATATATATATATATATATATATATATATATATATATATATATATATATATATATATATATATGTGTGTGTGTGTGTGTGTGTATATATATATATATATATATATATATATATATATATATATATATATATATATATATATATATATATATATATATATAAATGTATGTGTGTGTGTGTGTGTGGTATATGTATGTATGCACATGCATATGTATATAATATAAATAGTGTGAATGAAAGTTAAAATGTATTAATGTGTTATAAAGCATTTTGATGCTTATTGTTTTTGAAAGTATTCTTTCCATTAAGATTTCATTTTAAAATTCTAGAATTGACCCAAACATAGTAACACCTGCCACATTGACTTGTTTCGCTTAGACTTTCGATAAACAAAGTAAATCCGTCATCTTACATCAGGTATCCAATCTTTAACATGTGACGAATAGATGAACTTTTAAACAACCTGCGAATATTTATCTGATGTACTGCTATCAAAATAGATATAAACAGAAGTAGTAAATAAATAATATTGGCATATTTAAAGGCGAATTTCTTCATTTAGTATTTCCGTCTTGCATTCGTTACATCAAAGGTGTATACAAGTGTTTTCGTGTGATGAAATAGCTACTTTTGTTTTAGCTAAATAAATATAATTATAATTTAATTTAATTAATTTATAGCAATGTAAGCTACATCTTAGTAGAAATTAGTATGCCTTCGAAAAGAATAACAGCCGAAATAACAACTTTAATTTTATTAGCCCCAAGAAATCATTAATTTTTTTATCAGTTTTGACCCCTTTATTAATTATAGTTCCTTAGCCAGTCAAAATTTATTTGTAAAAACTATACGTGTCATCTAGGATTCCATATAGTTGTGGGGGATTTGGGGTGGTAGTTGGGGAGGGGGGAGTAGGGATGGGGCAGTGTTGACGACTGTCTTACCTAACTGACTTAAAATGGGGGTTATTCGCGGTTATTTCACCAACTAACTGAGATGTTAGAAGCTAATTGATGACCACCATCATTTGTCGTTGATGACCCCCATGATTTGCTGAACTTCTCCAGTTGTTGATGACAAAAATGCTTCAAGTGCCAGAGGTCAGCCGGAAAGTTACAGTTTTGGCGGTTATTGTGTGCCTGACATGGTCGACCTTCACCTTCCAGAATGTTCAAGCTCTAGGGCAGTTTGGTGAGTTGGGTCCAGTAGACCAGTGTGTCCTTGTGCCCAGTGTGTCCATGTGTCCAGTAGACCAGAGTGTCCGTGTGTCCAGTGTGTCCTTGTGTCCAGTAGACCAGTGTGTCCTTGTGTCCAGTAGACCAGTGTGTCCTTGTGTCCAGTGTTCCTTGTGTCCAGTAGACCAGTGTGTCCTTGTGTCCAGTAGACCAGTGTGTCCTTGTGTCCAGTATGTCCTTGTGTCCAGTAGACCAGTGTGTCCTTGTGTCCAGTGTTCCTTGTGTCCAGTAGACCAGTGTGTCCTTGTGTCCAGTAGACCAGTGTGTCCTTGTGTCCAGTGTTCCTTGTGTCCAGTAGACCAGTGTGTCCTTGTGTCCAGTAGACCAGTGTGTCCTTGTGTCCAGTGTTCCTTGTGTCCAGTAGACCAGTGTGTCCTTGTGTCCAGTAGACCAGTGTGTCCTTGTGTCCAGTAGACCAGTGTGTCCTTGTGTCCAGTAGACCAGTGTGTCCTTGTGTCCAGTAGACCAGTGTGTCCTTGTGTCCAGTAGACCAGTGTGTCCTTGTGTCTAGTAGACCAGTGTGTCCTTGTGTCCAGTGTGTCCTTGTGTCCAGTTGACCAGTGTGTCCTTGTGTCCAGTAGACCAGTGTGTCCTTGTGTCCAGTGTGTCCTTGTGTCCTTGTGTCCTTGTGTCCTTGTGTCCAGTAGACCAGTATGTCCTTGTGTCAGTAGACCAGTGTGTCCTTGTGTCCAGTAGACCAGTGTGTCCTTGTGTCCTTGTGTCCAGTAGACCAATGTGTCCTTGTGTCCAGTAGACCAATATGTCCTTGTGTCCTTGTGTCCAGTAGACCAATGTGTCCTTGTGTCCTTGTGTCCAGTAGACCAATGTGTCCTTGTGTCCAGTAGACCAGTGTGTCCTTGTGTCCTTGTGTCCAGTAGACAATTGTGTTCTTGTGTCCAGTAGACCAATGTGTCCTTGTGTCCTTGTGTCCAGTAGACCAATGTGTCCATGTGTCCAGTAGACCAATGTGTCCTTGTGTCCAGTAGACCAGTGTGTCCAGTGTGTCCTTGTGTCCAGTAGACCAGTGTGTCCATGTGTCCAGTAGACCAGTGTGTCTTTGTGTCCAGTGTGTCCTTGTGTCCAGTAGACTAGTATGTCCATGTGTTCAATAGACCTATAAACCCTACCCTGAACACGATGATGAACCCAACCCCTCCTGCTCCCCAGTGAACCCCGTGTGTATCACATCATGCGATGGCCGTACAGACGGCCAATACTTGAGCTGTAGCCGATGTGACTACTACATCATGTGTTCCTCGGGCTACCTGTCTGCCATGCCGTGTCCGGCTACCACAACATACGATGGCTACCTGGGCGTGTGCGTCTCTAGAACTATTCAAGGCTGCAGGTAAGGTCAAGGCCGTGTTATATGGGTCAAGGTTGTTTTTGTTTTAATTTTAAATAAAGGTTAAGTGCCAGTCAGTATCAAGGCTCCATCGTTGTTAAGAATATGATTTTTGAATTATGGTTCTGAAATCTTTACTTAGACTTTCTTTCGCAGGCGGTTGCAGAAATAACAGGTTGTGTTTGTGACAGGTTTGTGACAGGTTGTGTTTGTGAGAAGTTTGTAGACCGTTTCATTCAAGGTTAAATTCGAGCAGAGTTTTTTCCAGGCACTTCTTCGTGGGGGTGGGGGGCGGACCCCGAAAAAAGTCTACCGCCCCCCCCCCCACCCCGAACGAAATGGAATTTATATAGAAAATATATACTTTTAACACTGTCCGCCCCCCCCCCCCCCCCCGGAAAATTTTAACCCCCCCCCCACCCCCAGAAAATTTCAAGTGCCCCCCCCCCCCCTCGGAGAAAAAAGTCTGGAAGAAACACTGTCTTCGAGGAGGGAGCTGCCCCCCCCCCCTCCCCCAGACCGAGCACGACCACCGCACCCCGGACGACATAAAAAAAATTATATAGAAAAAAATACTTTATCCATTTAGCAAGTGTCCACGACCTTTCCCCGGAAATCTAAGTGCCTCCCCTCCCCTTCCCATTAGAGGAATGTTATCAGAAATCCTATATAATTCGCAAACCAAGTTTAATTAAATGTAGACCTTTACAAATGTTGTTTTAGATTACATGTGTAGGAAAAAAACTCAGTCAATCATGTAATTTAAAAAATATTTTGTGCCTTGAGTTTTGAAAAAAAAAAAAAAAGAAAAAAAAGTCAATCGTAAATTATTTTTTTCTTCATAAAGATTCAAACTAAAAAGTAAGATTCTAAACCGAATTCACGTTTGTATGTAGTTTAAGAAAAAAAATGATACGTTAATTAGCATTGCTCAAAATAGACTGTATCAAATTTATAACTTAAACATGATGTAACGAACTTATAGAACTATTACAAGGTAGCCCCCACCCCCACCCCCCACCCCCACCCCTACACCCGAATAAACTCTCGCTGGTAGAAAACACTTGGAAGCCAATTTGGATATTTGAGATATTAAAAAAAAAATAACAAAATATTTTCTTGCCGATATTTTTCTATTGAAAATAATGATAATGCTGTTAATGTTTTTCTATTGAAAATAATTATAATGCTGTCAATGTTGAATGTCTGTGTTTGTCCTCAGTCCAACTGGTCAACGTTTAAGTCCATTAGAGCCTGGCCAATCGCTACAGCCCACTGCAGGTAAAGAGTTCACTCCCCTTTATTTTACTACTGCTAACTACGTTAAACATTTCGTATAGAAAAAATCCCTTTTTAAAATAATTCTTTTTGTGGGCAAAAAAGTTTATTGGAGGACTTCATTAAAACAAAATGTTACTTCCTTCGGGCAATAGGAATTGGGACATGTTTTTGTTTTAATAGAAAAAGAAAAGGATGATGAAGTAGAGATCGCCTGTTTCTGCAGTTGAAACATAAGAGACACGACGCCCTTGACCTATTTAACTCACAGAACCGGAACTCATTCTCATAAGCTATAGTGGTCAATGGGGTATTTCCACAACTCCTGTTAATAAAGGCAGTCGATACTAATATTATGATAACTTATGTCGCCCCCTCCCTCCAAAAGTTTGCAGTTATTTATTTTATAACATTTAATAACATCTCTTTTAAGCTGTATATTATCATTATGTTTATAATGATTTAATCAATTGTTATTAATTACAGTTACTGTTTGTTTTTCTTTAATCAAATTGTTATCGTTCTTTTAAAGGCTCGCCATCTTTAAATGAATACCCGAACCAGCCATATCCGGGGCCAACCGGAAGTGGGCAGTACCCACCCACTGGCCCGACCTATCCTATTTATAGACCTCCCTATTACTTCCCTTCAACCTCGAAATATTTTGACCCTCGATTTTATTATCCAATTAGCTATCCTCCATATTACAACCCGTCAACCCAACCTAGTAACCCTCCAACATACCCACCTAGCAACCCTCCAACATACCCACCTACCAACCCTCCAACATACCCACCTACCAACCCTCCAACATATCCCACATACCCACCTAGCAACCCTCCAACATACCCACCTAGCAACCCTCCAACATACCCACCTAGCAACCCTCCAACATATCCAACATACCCACCTAGCAACCCTCCAACATACCCACCTAGCAACCCTCCAACATACCCACCTAGCAACCCTCCAACATACCCATCTAGCAACCCTCCAACATATCCTACATACCCACCTACCAATCCTCCAACATACCCATCTAGCAACCCTCCAACATATCCCACATACCCACCTAGCAACCCTCCTACATACCCACCTAGCAACCCGCCAACATATCCTACATACCCACCTAGCAACCCTCCAACATACCCACCTAGCAACCCTCCAACATACCCACCTAGCAACCCTCCAACATACCCACCTAGCAACCCTCCAACATACCCACCTAGCAACCCTCCAACATACCCACCTAGCAACCCTCCAACATACCCACCTAGCAACCCTCCAACATACCCACCTAGCAACCCTCCAACATACCCACCTAGCAACCCTCCAACATACCCACCTAGCAACCCTCCAACATACCCACCTAGCAACCCTCCAACATACCCACCTAGCAACCCTCCAACATATCCTACATACCCACCTAGCAACCCTCCAACATACCCACCTAGCAACCCTCCAACATACCCACCTAGCAACCCTCCAACATACCCACCTAGCAACCCTCCAACATACCCACCTAGCAACCCTCCAACATACCCACCTAGCAACCCTCCAACATACCCACCTAGCAACCCTCCAACATACCCACCTAGCAACCCGCCAACATACCCACCTAGCAACCCTCCAACATACCCACCTAGCAACCCTCCAACATACCCACCTAGCAACCCTCCAACATACCCACCTAGCAACCCTCCAACATACCCACCTAGCAACCCTCCAACATACCCACCTAGCAACCCTCCAACATACCCACCTAGCAACCTTCCAACATACCCACCTAGCAACCCTCCAACATACCCACCTAGCAACCCTCCAACATACCCACCTAGCAACCCTCCAACATACCCACCTAGCAACCCTCCAACATACCCACCTAGCAACCCTCCAACATACCCACCTAGCAACCCTCCAACATACCCACCTAGCAACCCTCCAACATACCCACCTAGCAACCCGCCAACATACCCACCTAGCAACCCTCCAACATACCCACCTAGCAACCCTCCAACATACCCACCTAGCAACCCTCCAACATACCCACCTAGCAACCCTCCAACATACCCACCTAGCAACCCTCCAACATACCCACCTAGCAACCCTCCAACATACCCACCTAGCAACCCGCCAACATACCCACCTAGCAACCCTCCAACATACCCACCTAGCAACCCTCCAACATACCCACCTAGCAACCTTCCAACATACCCACCTAGCAACCCTCCAACATACCCACCTAGCAACCCTCCAACATACCCACCTAGCAACCCTCCAACATATCCAACATACCCACCTAGCAACCCGCCTACATATGTACCTAGCAACCCTCCAACATACCCACCTAGCAACCCTCCAACATACCCACCTAGCAACCCTCCAACATACCCACCTAGCAACCCGCCTACATATGTACCTAGCAACCCTCCAACATACCCACCTAGCAACCCTCCAACATACCCACCTAGCAACCCTCCAACATACCCACCTAGCAACCCGCCAACATACCCACCTAGCAACCCTCCAACTTACCCACCTAGCAACCCTCCAACTTACCCACCTAGCAACCCTCCAACATATCCTACATACCCACCTAGCAACCCTCCAACATACCCACCTAGCAACCCTCCAACATACCCACCTAGCAACCCTCCAACATACCCACCTAGCAACCCGCCAACTTACCCACCTAGCAACCCTCCAACATACCCACCTAGCAACCCTCCCACATACCCACCTAGCAACCCTCCAACATACCCACCTAGCAACCCTCCAACATATCCTACATACCCATCTAGCAACCCTCCAACATACCCACCTAGCAACCCTCCAACATACCCACCTAGCAACCCTCCAACATATCCAACATACCCACCTAGCAACCCTCCAACATACCCACCTAGCAACCCTCCAACATACCCACCTAGCAACCCTCCAACATACCCACCTAGCAACCCTCCAACATACCCACCTAGCAACCCTCCAACATATCCACCTAGCAACCCTCCAACATACCCACCTAGCAACCCTCCAACATACCCACCTAGCAACCCTCCAACATACCCACCTAGCAACCCTCCAACATACCCACCTAGCAACCCTCCAACATACCCACCTAGCAACCCTCCAACATACCCACCTAGCAACCCTCCAACATACCCACCTAGCAACCCTCCAACATACCCACCTAGCAACCCTCCAACATACCCACCTAGCAACCCGCCTACATACGTACCTAGCAACCCTCCAACATACCCACCTACCAACCCTCCAACATACCCACCTAGCAACCCGCCTACATACGTACCTAGCAACCCTCCTACATATCCCACATACCCTCCTAGCAGCCCCCCAACCCTATATCCGTCCAACCCGCCAACCGATCCTTCCACCAACCCACCCACTTCCGGTTCAGTACCGACAACCAACCCTATTGCATCCCCAACCAACCCAGATTATTACAACCCAATCAGCGTTAACCCGAACTCAGGTTCCCAGCCAACCACTCAAGTTATCAACGGGAACATTGAAACGATCGGTAAGTCAAAGAGCGGGAACATTGGGAACATTGAAACGATCGGTAAGTCAAACAGTGGGGAACATTGGGAACATTGAAACGATCGGTAAGTGAAGCAGTGGGGAACATTGGGAACATTGAAACGATTGGGAAGTCAAACAGTGGGAACAGTGGGGAACATTGGGAACATTGAAACGATCGGTAAGTCAGTGGGGAACATTAGGAACATTGAAACGATGGGAGCATTGGGAACATTGAAATTTTAGATAGGTTAATAACATGGGGAACACTGGGAACATGAAAACTTTATTGTAAAAAAAAACCATGATAAAATATTGATCAGTAAAAACGTAACTGCCACACGCAAGTGACGTAATACCTCCACAAAAAATGCCATATCAACCACTCTTCACCTCGCCATCAGACATTACTAATGCTGCCACCCCCCACCCCCCTACCCATATCCGCAGGCACTGACATCGACCTGTCCGAGTTTGGCTTCGCCTACAACCAGCTGACCCCGACCTCCGCCCCCGCCACCCGCACCTGCCCGAACTGCCAGGACACCTGCCAACCTGGCACCCAGGTCATCGTGCTCTGCAGTGACTGCTGTTACTTCGACTGTCAGAAGAACCACCGAGTCTGTCCATGATCGCGCCTTGTTCAAATAAACGGCACTTTTCCGTTATAGGGGACCAGGCTCTCGTTCATCACGTGACGATTATACACCCTAATTTTAACTGTTATTAACCTTAATCCAAAATCTATCACCCTAAACCTAACCATGACACCATACCCGTGTCAACACTAACATGTTTATCACCAGCAGTTCCATTAAATCATACAGTTCTAGAACCCAACCTGGTATCTTATAACGGAGAAGTTCCAAATAGAAATTTATGGGTTTATTTGACTTCTTTATTTATGCAATATTTATAAATTCGTATTTCATTAGAGAAATTTATTTTACACTCAAAACAAATGTTTTGTTATTTTTTTCTCTTGTCTTTTAATTAAGGCTTCTTTTTTTAATTTACGGTCTAGGGGCAGCAACAATGAAATTTTTTTACTTTGTACATCAGACATAGTTATTTGTCTTGAATTTTTAAAAGAAATTTAATGTTAACAATAATAGTTTAAAATATTATTAATAACTATTATTGATAAATTGATAACAATATTAATTTAAAAAATTAAGAAAATATGATAATAATACTTATATTTATATTTATTTACGAAAAAATAATTTTTTTATAGGTTGTCCCGCTTTCAATTTAAAATTCAAATCGCATTTAAAATCGCATTTACGGTCAAAGGGAAACAAACATGAAATTATTTTAGTTAGTAATTCAGCAAAAGTTAACCCGCTTACATAGTTTTAAATTTTTAAAATTCAAACATAAATAATTAGAAAATATTAATACAAATTAATTTTTTTAAATGAATAAAAAATATTAACACTGATATAAATACAAAAAAAATTAAGATTAATGTATATTATTAGTCATATTTATATTTATGTGAGAGCTTGTTTACGAAATAAATAATAGTTTTTTTTTCCTGAACAGCCGAATTTAAGATTAATCTACTCGTTCCCTATACGAATTTATTTGATTCATAAGGGTTATAAAAATTAGGGGATTATACATATTAGATGTGTCTATTCAGTAAATATTAAGCTTTAGTTTATTTAAACATTTTCCCAACTAAACTGACACACAATATTTATAAGCGAAATTACCTTGAAGGAAATGTTTCATGCTAGTTTCCCTTTGACCATACATTTATTATTTCATCCTTTAATTTCTGAAATATAAGGCAGTATAACCAATACAAAAATAAGCGATGAACCAATCAATAAATACTTATTTATGGTTGATATGTTATCACTAATTTTATAAAGATTTACAAAAAATATTTCTATATAAAAATTATTATCACAAATTGTAATCCATAGTAGCATTTTTCTAACATGGTTTCAAGGCAAGGATTTAGGTGATAGGATTTGGACTAAGGTTCGTTAATATTAATATATATCCATTCCTTTCTATAAGAATATTTCTTTTTATATAGGTTATCTCGCTTTATAATAAAGTCAAAAATTTATGGTCAAAGGGAGGCAAACATAATATTATTTTTAGTTAGTTGTTCAGCTAAAGTTACCTCGCTTAAATTGTCTTCGTTTCATTTTAATACAAGAAAATAAAAGTATTATTAATTATATTTTTTAAACAAATAAATATAATAAATTAATACTAACATTAATAATTAAAAATTTTAAGATTAATTTATATTAATAAATAAATTTAAATTTTGTCCACGGAAAAATAATGAATAATATTGTTTATTTTTTTGTTGAGCATATGGCTAAATTTAGATCTTCAACATTTACTGTATCATCCTTTAATTTAAAAAAAAAAATTTAAAGCTGGGTAACCCACACATTAAATACTTAATAATTTACTGCTGACTTGGAATCAATCATTTCATAAAGACCATTACAAACATTTCAAATACTGTCACAAATTGCAATCAGATTTGTAGCTGCCAAATGAAGTCTTTTTCTGACGAAAGTGTTATGTAAACGAAAAGTTATTTCCTACACGAAAAAATATTTAAAAATCAGTTTTTAATCAATTCAACATGTCTACTAATAGTTTGATAAAATATTTATTGCTCAGCATAAAGCGGAATCTAGATTAATCTTTTCATATTTTTTGTAAGGTTTTTGATCTTCTTTTCTTCTTCTTCGTTCTTAATTATTAGTGTTGAAGGGGATCGAGATTTATCTGTCAGTGGGTTTGAACTCGAGACTGTGTTCGAATTTATCAACCATGAACTTTTTGCCGACTCGACCACGCCTCCAACACAATTAAGCGTTACGTGTCAACTGGTTATGCGCCATTGAGGCCATTGACTCTGCTTTTCTTTTTGGATTTGCTTCCATAGCCTTTGTCCAACCAAGAACAAACTACAAGGCAGCAGTTGTTTAATTTTGGAGTTATCTCTCCTAGAAGAGTGGCTGTCCCCAGCTAACGAGCCTCATCTGCCTGAGGGTTCGAACTCGAGACTTTACCGACCCGACCACGCCGATCCTAAGGTTTTTGATAAGGTTTGAGATGATCGAAATTTGATTATGTGAAATTCAATAAATATTAAACTTGTGTTTAATTTCTAAAATGAACTGTTTTTTTTAAAAACCAACAAATTATAAGTAAAATCATTTAAGCGAAGTAACTACGGATAAACTAAGAATTGAAGAATTTTCATGCTTGTCTCCCCTACACCGTAATATTTTTTTTCTTTTTTTCGAACTGTAGCTGACTCGTTCTCTGACTTCTCTGTTTTGATGTTTTAACGGGGCAATTAAGAATAAATTCATGAATATTTGTATACTTATTTCTAAGAATTATTGCTGCATTTATTTTTTCAAATATTGATTGTATAGTATTAAATCTAAAAAATGCATTTAGAATTGAGTGTTTTTCTAGTAATCCAACCGGAAAAAAAGTATCTCTGTAACAATCACTTCATCTTAAAGATATCTCCTTGTATCCCGTCAATGTTAGACATCTTGTCTTATTGGTACACGGTACACATTTCATGAGTTGTTTTTTTTGGTATCTCTACAGGGGTTGGGGGGGGGGGGATGATTATACGCCCAATAAAGCACGTTAACCGCCCCTCTCACCAAAGAAATAGTAAAAATAGATAACTTAAAATTATAAACATATATATATATATATATATATATATATATATATATATATATATATATATATATATATATATATATATATATATATATACATTAGTGTCCCCCTCTCTCGGAAATTTACATCAGACTTCCTGAAAGTTTCAATTTCAATGTCCGTCATTTACGCATGTATGCCAGCCGTGTGTGCAGGTCTCTAACTAAAAAATTTTAAAACTTCTGCGTCATGTCGAGATCCGTAAAAAAAAAAAAAGATAAAAATATGGTGTCTGAAAGTGTCAATAGATATATATAAGTGTATTTTTTGTACTATAATTTCATAAAGGGTATTTACCTATAATTCATAAGTTATTATTTCAATACGCAAAAGTGTTTTTTAATTATAACTATTACCATGTTCCTCTTGTGTTCAACAGTCGTTGGGTTTCAATCAATACTTAAATTTGTTATTCATTTAAAAATTCAACTGGTAAAAGCATCAATTTGTTAATAAATCTGCATCTTTTCGTTTTGGTGTCACTCTTTGCGGTTCGCAACCCTTACATCCTCACTCCTCAGTGATGCTTCAGGCGTAAGGAACCCACTTAGTAAACTCACATCCAACAAGAAATGAAACAGAAGGCAAAAGTACAAATTTAAAAGAATAGTTTATTACATGTTATTAAGCAGACCCATCATCATTAATGGGTTCCCCATGAGACCAGCCCCAGCCCCGGCGCCCCCGGCACCCCCCATGCCGCCGCCGCCCATCATCATCATCATTCCTAATAGCTGGGCCATATCACTGCCTCCACGCATAAGTCTGGAAATATAAACATACAGGATTATATATATATATATATATATATATATATATATATATATATATATATATATATATATATATATATATATATATATATATATATATAATATATATTTATTTATCCACATGAACAACAGTATAAATACATAGTTTCGAACCATAATCAGAACATATTACCAATGCAGATATTAAAAATTAAGTAATTAACTTACAGCCTACAATATATTTATTACTTTTGAACAGCTGTTTAAATGAACAAAAAAATACTAATTGTCTACTTTTGTTTATTATTTGAACAACGTATTTCCTAGCTTATACTTACGCTAAAGGTAAAAGACCTTGCATAGGGCCTGTAAGGAAGAGTTATAAACATTTTTTAAAAAAGAAATTATTCTCAACACAAATTTTAATTTTTACACAACTTTGTCGGTATACATATTCCTTTTTATATTCTCCTACAGTTCCCTCCATTACCTCCCACTATCCCTAATTAGCACCAACAAGTCAGAGGCGTAGCGACCGATTCCGGCGCCCGGGGCGGAATATATATTTTTGCGCCCCTCCCTACTATTCTATTTATAGTTATTCATGTCTTTTTGAAAAAGCTCCCCCCCCCCTTCAAAGTAAAAAAATAAATACATTGGAAAGGTTTGTGGAGCTTCTTACCAGTTACTATCCCATTAGATTTTCTATTTCGGTGCCACAAAATTGACATAGAAAACAATTAAATCAATGTGAAAAACCTTGAAGTCGTTTATTTTCGTAACTTTGACTGTATATAATGTAATACTTAAAATGAGCTTTTTAATTACTTTTTTTTACCCCATTTGGCGCCCCCTTAGGATCGGCGCCCGGGGCGGCCGCCCCACCCGCCCTCCCCTAGCTACGCCACTGCAACAAGCCCATGATAAGCTCACACAATCCACATTAGCTCCAGAAATCTCAATTTATCTCCCGCAAGTCCCTTTAATTAACTGGCACAATTTTTTAAATTAACTCCACCGATCCACTTTATGAACTCACGCAATCCCCTCAATTAGTTCCCACAATCAGCCACTAGCTCCCACAATCCCCACATTACCATCCTCCATTCCATCACCAATCCACATCAAATTCCACAAATTATCACCGGAAATTTATGACGTCACAGCGTTACATGCTTTCTATCCTCAACAAACATTAGACAATTCCCCCGCCCCCAGAACTTAACAACACGAAACAATACAGGTGTGTGTGGGGGGGGGGGGGGTGAGACACTCACTTGCAGGGCGGGTGGGTGGTGCCGCTGGCATGGGGAAGTTCAAGGGCATGCCTGCCGGCATCCCAGGGAAGCCTGGTGTGCCGAAGTTTGATGCCCCGGGCTGGCCCCCCGCCATCATCGAGCTCAAGTCCATGCCCCCTGGAGTTCCTGTCGAGGGGAGGTAACAATGAAAATAGGTGTTAGGAAAAAAAGTTTTCAAACTCATACCCGTTAAAACAAATATATTTTTGTGTTATAATATCACATAGAGAAATTACAAAAAAAAAAACACCATTAACTCCTTATGTAACAACTTTTAGCCCCTGATATAACACCTTTAAACTGGGAACATTAATGAATGTCAAGGAAACTGTAAGGAAATAAGAGGAACATCCGTTTCATTCAAAGGAAAATAACTCTACGTCTAACCAAAGAACAACCTTGACAAATCTTCAAGTTCAGGCTTTATGAAAATAATTGCATTAAGTATAGGCCAAATTAACTTGTATAATTAACTTTTATTAAATGGTCATATCCTCCAGGTGGTTGACATTTAAGGCTGGTCTAATTAATTAATTAATTAATTAAAACCACCCAGGCACACAATGAATCGGGCGGCTACCTGTGTTAGGCGTCGACTGCAGTAGACTGTTAAACATGGAAGGATCAGTTGCTGGGGAAAGAAAAAAAATTAATCTCGTCTGATTTATTTTACTTTAATTGGTGTGTGTATTTCTGAGACATCATATAAAATGACATAATCTGATACCACATAAAATGTTTTCAATTTCATAATTAATTTAGCTCACGTTTGGAAAGAAAAAAATTATGGATCACATCCCACTCTCATGATACAGAACTAAGGTTTTGTTCATGTGAGACAAGGAACGGATTCGTTGGAGTGCTAATCGCTGGACCTACTGACCTTGTCATAGCTGGACCTACTGACCTTCTTAGAGGACTATGTTGGACCTTCTGAGCTTATAAGAGGACTATGTTGGACCTACTGACCTCGTCATAGCTGGACCTACTGACCTTCTTAGAGGACTATGTTGGACCTTCTGAGCTTATAAGAGGACTATGTTGGACCTACTTACCTCGTCATAGCTGGACCTACTGACCTTCTTAGAGGACTATGTTGGACCTTCTGAGCTTATAAGAGGACTATGTTGGACCTACTTACCTCGTCATAGCTGGACCTACTGACCTTCTTAGAGGATAAGTTGGACCTACATAGCTGGACTTACCTTGTCAGAAGATCACAAGCTGTAATTGTGTGTAGGCAGATACAATGGTAAAATAGTTAAATGAAAAATAGTCATTAGACAGGGGAGCTTACCTTGTTGAGAAAAAAATAATGAGACAGGGGAGCTTACCTTGTTGAGAAAACAATAATGAGACAGTGGAGCTTACCTTGTTGAGAAAACAATAATGAGACAGGGGAGCTTACCTTGTTGTGATGTGGCTAGGCTGCAGACAGCGGCTAACAAGACACAAACCTGCAGACGAGACACAAAAAACATATTTAGCTCTAATGTTTTCAAATATCAGCTCTTGGTGTCATGTTTTTCATGAGTCCAAAAAGTCCGAAAATCCCAGTTTTGCGTGGGCTATATGTCTGTATAAACGTCTGTCTGTTTAATTGGGCAGACGTACCGTTTGGTTCGGTGGAGGTAATCTCATATAAAAGTATTATATGATATAGTAACGTAGGTTTCTATTAACTTTTTAGCGTTTTTTTTTAAACCGTAAGTGGTACTCACTCTATTTCCGGTTGGCCAAAAACCGATAACTTGAAACTGTTTCAATTAAGCGGATACGATCTTTAACGCAAGTTTCTGTCAACTTTCGAGCGATTTACGAATAACGGAAATGATACATGACTCCATTTCCGGTTTCTCAAAACGCTTCAGATGCTAATATTTTTAAATAATCCTCATTAAGCTGCTTATTTTTAAAAAGTTTAGCCTTTGTTTCATCGAAAAAACGAAGGTTTTTAACACAAACGTTCCTACATTTTCTATAGCCAAACTCTACTGGAAGTGACGTCCCAACTATATATACGAGAAAGTTGAGGGGAGCTCACTCCTGTCTTATTGTTAACATACCTGCTTATTTCAATAAAAAGTTGGAAGGTATCGTTTAACTTTGTCATTGTTTTCGATATCATTACAGATATTGCTAGGTAAGAAGGTTTTATTTTATAATGGGCTCACTAAATAGAATTTGACCGTATTCATCTGGTAATTGTTCCAAAAAATTATATCATCGATGCGATTTTATACATATTTTTTTTTTTGCGATTTCCGAAAAAAAAAGGTTTTTTTTTAAAGTTTATTTTGGTTTATAAATATCTTGTCCATATCATTCAAATGTGCATTATTTTTCTATTGATCCTATTGAATTCAAGATAAATAAAGCGTTTAGATGACGATGATGAGTATAAGTGTCTAAAGAATGTTCTTTCGAGAACATTCGTTTTAATGTTCTGACGTGGTACAACGCAATCTACCCCCCCCCCCCACCATGTAAAATGACTTGAAGTAAACAGTTCATGATGTCCGGGCTAGGTGACGAAGCTGGTTGCATAATTTTTCGCCAAAACAGGTGGGGGGACGGGGTAGGGGGACGGGGACAAATGCCGTCTTCGTGTTGGTCCTAAGTAGCGACCAACATAGTGTCAGCTGACGTCCACACACTGACGTCCAAAGACGTCACCCCACAAGATGTAACGAGACCCCCGCCCATTGGGCGCCAGGCGAGTCTAGAGCCCGCTGTCAAACTGAGGCGGAAGTCAAACAGGCAGAAGACACATTGGTCAAATTAACGGACAGGACAAGTGCCACGTCAAACAAGATGGGGGAACGTGACACCGTGGAACGTGACACATTGGAGAAGGGGAAATTGTCATGTGACACGGTGGTGGGGGGGGGTGAACAAATGGTGGCAAAACACACAAGGGAGAACGGACAAGTTGACATGTGAAACAATAAGGAGATTAGGACAAATGGTCTCAAAACACAAAAGAGAGAGTGGACAAATTGTGACAAATGGTGACAAAAGAGAAAGTGGACAAATGGTCTCAAAACACAAAAGAGAGAATGGACAAATAGTAACAAAAATAGTGACAAAATAGTGACAAATAGTGATAAATAGTGATAAAAAGAAATGGTAACAAAACACAAAAGAGAGAATGGACAAATGTTGACAACAGAAGAAACAGAAAGTTGACAAATGGTAACAAAACACAAAAGAGAGAATGGACAAATGTTGACAACAGACGAAAGAGAAAGTTGACAAATGGTAACAAAACAAAAAAGAGAGAATGGACAAATTTGAAAGAACAAATCCTCTCGTCAGCACTAAGACACACGTCACCACACAAAGACACACGTCACCATAATAAACCCGCCACCAGCATCAAGCCTGCCAGATTTATCGTGTACAGTTGCCTGAAGTACAAGGCAACTCCAGTGAGGCACGGGCTAGTGGTTAAAAATAAAACTTATTAGACATGTTAATTAATTAGCCAGCCAATGCAATTTGCGTCGAACAGGGCAGGGAATTATGCACCCAGACGAGAAGACATGAAAGATGGGCTGGTTAACTTGTGACGAGCTTGTGGACGAGGGGCACGGTGACGTTTATAAGGGCCGTTAACTTAAAAATGGCAGCTGTATATTTAGTTATGAGGTTACTTAGAGAGCTGGGATGACGCGCACAATATCTAAAACTTTAAAGAAAGTTGTAGTCGTATTGTTATTTTAAGCTTGTATTTAACTAATAATGGCTGTTTGTTTGAGGGTTTGTGGTAAATATTGCAGTTCGATTTAAACCCATTTCTAATCTTCTTCGATCTAAATTTTAGAGTTGAAAAGGATTCGCTTATCTGCTTGGGGGTTCGAACTCAGGACTTATCGGATTAGCAACCATGCGCTTAACCGACCCGACCACCATGCCGACCTCCTCTACCTCTAATCCAGCGATTTCGCTTCAACTATTCACATACAATTGTCTCCGATGACAATGCAATTATATCTAACTAAAATCTATTTAGATATTAAATTATTCATTAAATTTGGATTATTTTTCTTATTTTTGGAGCATTTAAAACCTAATTATTATAAAGTATTTTTTTTATTTGTTTAATTGATTTTCGATATATGATAAATTATCGGGGAATTTAAGAGGTATTCAATGTTTAATTTTCTGTTTGTTTTGACGTTATTTTAATTTTCATGTTCCTAATGCAATAAGCGTCGAGAGAGTCATTTAATTTAAGAAACAATAGAAGAAAAGTGATGACTGGAAGCATCATCGTATGAAAAGTTTAAAGTGTTGTTTTCTCTCATTTTAAATCAAATCAGGCAGATGAGGCTCGTTAGCTGGGGACAGCCACTCTTCTAGGAGAGACAACTCCAAAATCAAACAAATACTACCTTGTAGTTTGTTCTTGGTTTGACAAAGGCTATGGAAGCAAATCCAAAAAGAAAAGCAGGCTGAAATCGGAGTCGACGGTCTCAATGGCGCATAACCAGTTAACGCGTATACTTAATTGTGTTGAAGGGGATCCCTTCCAACACTACAATTAAGAACGAAGAAGAAGAAGAAGAAGAAGAAGAAGAAGGAGAAGAAGAAGAAGAAGAAGAAGAAGAAGAAGAAAAAGAAGAAGAAGAAGAAGAAGAAGAAGAAGAAGAAGAAGAAGAAGAAAACGAAATCAAGCAAATATTGGGCTTTATGCTGGTCACCACTGACCACAGCTTTATCAGATCTGACTGGACCCTGGTCATTCTAGTACATTCCATTTTGGTTTTTTTTTTTTTTGGTATTGTTGTTAAATTTGTCATTGACCTTTAACTTGGCTCCAAGATTTTTATGTGTCTTCTCCACACTTCAACGGCCGTGAATGTCCAGATTTTCCCCTACCCCCCTACCCTCCCCTCAACGGTAAATGAAGTTAGAACGATAATTTTATTTTAACTTGAAAAGCATCTAAAATTCAAAGTTAATAAATGGCTTTGTCGATTTCCAGTAATAGCTTGGAGTAAGCAAATATCTTGCATAAATGAAAATTCTGGTTATACCTAATACTACAGTCTGACATCTAGATATACCTAACATTACAGTCTGACATCTAGATATACCTGCCATTACAGTCTGACATCTAGATATACCTAACACTACAGTCTGACATCTAGATATACCTAACATTACAGTCTGACATCTAGATATACCTAACATTACAGTCTGACATCTAGATATACCTAACATTACAGTCTGACATTTAGATATACCTAATACTAAAGCCTGACATCTGGATATACCTAACATTACAGTCTGACATTTAGATATACCTAATACTAAAGCCTGACATCTGGATATACCTAACATTACAGTCTGACATCTAGATATACCTAATATTACAGTCTGACATCTGGATATACCTAACATTACAGTCTGACATCTAGATATACCTAAAATTACAGTCTGACATCTAGATATACCTAACATTACAGTCTGACATCTGGATATACCTAAAATTACAGTCTGAAAGACACATGGTCAATGGGAGACGGGGATATTTTTCATGGACTGAGAACAATTACAGGGGCAGTAGAGTAGTTTGAAATTAACTTGAAATTGATTTTATGAGTACATCGGACTTGAAAATACTAGAAATGTGCATTTTATATAATGGTTGAGACCAAGGGCGTAGCGAAGGGGGGGGGGATGCGGACCGCACCGGGTGACACCATTTAGGGGGGGGGGGTGACACCAAGGCAAAAAATAGAAAAATATATAGAGAAAAACTTGACGGGGGGGGGGTGCAAATCGAAAGTTTGAGAGGGGGTGGGGTGCAAATCGAAAACTTGAAAGTTTGTCCCCGGGAAAGGGGGGGGGGGTGACACCATTAAGTGCCTCACCGGGTGACACCCGACCTCGCTACGCCACTGGTTGAGACGGGACCTTCACAGCTGAATAGCGCTCTTAAGTCGGTGATGTTGTGTTTAGTCCTGTCGGTGATGTTGTGTTTAGTCCTGTCGGTGATGTTGTGTTTAGTCCTGTCGGTGATGTTGTGTTTAGTCCTGTCGGTGATGTTGTGTTTAGTCCTGTCGGTGATGTTGTGTTTAGTCCTGTCGGTGATGTTGTGTTTAGTCCTGTCGGTGATGTTGTGTTTAGTCCTGTCGGTGATGTTGTGTTTAGTCCTGTCGGTGATGTTGTGTTTAGTCCTGTCGGTGATGTTGTGTTTAGTCCTGTCGGTGATGTTGTGTTTAGTCATGTCGGTGATGTTGTGTTTACTCCTGTCGGTGATGTTGTGTTTAGTCCTGTCGGTGATGTTGTGTTTAGTCCTGTCGGTGATGTTGTGTTTAGTCCTGTCGGTGATGTTGTGTTTAGTCCTGCCGGTGATGTTGTGTTTAGTCCTGTCGGTGATGTTGTGTTTAGTCCTGTCGGTGATGTTGTGTTTAGTCCTGTCGGTGATGTTAGTCCTGTCGGTGATGTTGTGTTTAGTCCTGTCGCTAATGTTGTGTTTAGTCCTCTCTATGCCGTGCTGTATTCTTCTGTCTCAACGGGGTTATGGTTAGCCGAAGCGTAAATGCATGATGGTAGGATAGAGTGGATAAGATTTATAACTAAGCTAAAGAATAGTCTTTGCCCTCTGTAAGTAGTCGGAAATCAATTGGTACCTACACATGACGAGCTTAAAAAAAAAAGCAATAAATTTGATCCTTCAAAAAGCAGCTGGTAAATCTTCCTTTCATCATTAAGTTATTTCGAGATTTTTATTTCATGTTTTTTTTTTGTTTTTTTTTTTTGTATACTTTTATTTTCCAATTTTATACAAATACAGTAACATTCTTCGAAAATCTCAGTTATAATAAACGTTTGCTAAAATGCTTTTTTTTTAAAAAGAACATACAGTTTTGATACCCTTGTCATCCTCGTTTCAATTAAGCTTTATCAATATGTATAAAATGTTATTAAGAAATAATTTATCTTTTTTGAAAATAAATAAAAAGCCGCACTATTTTAAACCGAAATATTTTTTAAAGCAATTCCATAAAATTTAAAAACTAAAATTATTTATTCATTAAAATTAGTTTGACAAACTCACCTGCGCTAGAGATTTGGTAAACGCCATTTTTAGCTTAATCTTCTGCGAAACGTTGAGTTACCTAACTTGGTTTGAGTCTGGTCTACTCCGGGTTATCTAACTTTCAGCTTCAAATTTTTTCCTTCAAATAAGATCGTAAAAAATTTATTTCTTCTATAAATGTGGCCGCGGGGCCACGCCCACTTATCACTTCCTTTTCACTGGGGCTCCCTCACGCTGACAGGGGAAATAAACTGCGGGACATGATGGGATACGACGTGTCATTTGTCTCCCTTGACGTGCTGTTCGTTTGTTGGAAAACCTACCGCGTCAAACGGCTGAACGGTGGATGCTGGACTTTTTTTTTTGGGGGGGGGGGGGGGGGGGGGGGGGAGATGTGTATCCACATTGAGGAACATCCGTAACTGGATCTGTTTCCATATGTTCCAAAATGTTGTCCCATGTAGAATAGTGGCTACACTTAGAAAGAGGACCTCTCAGAGAGATGCCACTACCCAAAGTGTTTCTATTAGGCATCTCTTCCGGATGGGGGTCAAAGCCCCCCCCCCCCCTTTCCCCGAAGCAACAGTGTCCTCCTCCCCCACCCCCGGAAAATTTGTCCGCCCCACCCCCACACGAAAGTTTATAAGTGCCCCATGCCCCGGAGAAAAAAGTCTAGGACGGTGGCCCCTTATATAAATGTAGCTAACATATAACGGTAGCCCCGCACATAAATGTAGCTAACATATAACGGTGGCCCCTTATATAAATGTAGCTAACATATAACTGTGGCCCCTTATATAAATGTAGCTAACATATAACGGTGGACCCTTATATAAATGTAGCTAACATATAACGGTGGACCCTTATATAAATGTAGCTAACATATAACGGTGGCCCCCTTATATAAATGTAGCTAACATATAACGGTGGCCCTTTATATAAATGTAGCTAACATATAACGGTAGCCCCACACATAAATGTAGCTAACATATAACGGTAGCCTCTCACATAAATGTAGCTAACATATAACGGTAGCCCCTCACATAAATGTAGCTAACATATAACGGTAGCCCCGCACATAAATGTAGCTAACATATAACGGTAGCCCCGCACATAAATGTAGCTAACATATAACGGTAGCCCCGCACATAAATGTAGCTAACATATAACGGTGGCCCCGCACATAAATGTAGCTAACATATAACGGTAGCCCCGCACATAAATGTAGCTAACATATAACGGTAGCCCCGCACATAAATGTAGCTAACATATAACGGTGGCCCCGCACATAAATGTAGCTAACATATAACGGTAGCCCCGCACATAAATGTAGCTAACATATAACGGTAGCCCCGCACATAAATGTAGCTAACATATAACGGTAGCCCCGCATATAAATGTAGCTAACATATAACGGTAGCCCCGCACATAAATGTAGCTAACATATAACGGTAGCCCCGCACATAAATGTAGCTAACATATAACGGTGGCCCAGCACATAAATGTAGCTAACATATAACGGTAGCCCCGCACATAAATGTAGCTAACATATAACGGTGGCCCCGCACATAAATGTAGCTAACATATAACGGTGGCCCCGCACATAAATGTAGCTAACATATAACGGTGGCCCCGCACATAAATGTAGCTAACATATAACGGTAGCCCCGCACATAAATGTAGCTAACATATAACGGTAGCCCCGCACATAAATGTAGCTAACATATAACGGTAGCCCCGCACATAAATGTAGTTAACATATAACGGTAGCCCCGCACATAAATGTAGCTAACATATAACGGTAGCCCCGCACATAAATGTAGCTAACATATAACGGTAGCCCCGCACATAAATGTAGCTAACATATAACGGTGGCCCCGCACATAAATGTAGTTAACATATAACGGTGGCCCTTCATAGATACGTAGCTACAAAAAGAAACGTAGCCACACACGAAAAGGTAGATACATCAGAAAAGGTAGCCAGTCTTCAAATAGTAGCCTCTTGGGTAGCCATGCATAGACAAGAAGCCCTTCGTGGATAAATAGCCCTCTTGAAAATGTAGCCATATTTAGCATAGATATCCATATATTACATGAACGGAGTTGTTTTCACCGTAGTTTGACGCAATTCTCCCGTGTGTAATGTTATTAACATATTGTGTGTTCTTCAATTGGCTTATGTCACCCCCCCCCCCCTTCACGCACACACATTTTTCTGGCCAGTCGTTTGTCAGTTCTACTTGGAATGTTTTAATGCTTGAAATAGCACCTATTTTGGCTGTACAGTGTTGATGATAAGGTCAAGGTTAGGGTTAAGGTCATGATTAGGGTTAGCGTCAGGGACAGGCCGAGAGATATGGAGTTAGTAATGTTTTGGTTTTGGATTAAGGCTCGGGAAAATTCTAGGGTCACGGTAGCGAGGACTACCCCCATAATACCTGCGACTGCTGTCCCATTTAAACTTTATTTACTGCATTCAAATGTCTATTTCTACTTTATTTACTGAACTCAAATTTCGCAAGTCTATTTTCTACTTTATTTACTGCATTCAAACGAAAAAAAAAATATATTTTCTATTTGTTTCATTAAGGTAAAAATAATTTATATTTCTTGACAACAGCGCCACGAAAGCAATAATATTTTTAATGAGAAAATGTTGACGTTACAGAAAGAGCAAAATATTCTTCGAATAAACAATTCGAGCGTGCTGCAATTTGTGCCATCATTTACAGTGAAGGCGAACAAGGGCTATAACTCGCAGAACTCGGGAATGTTAAAAACAACAACAGGAAAACAGTATTTAAACATGTTTACGATTGAACTATTTTCATTAGTCGGACCCGCTTTTATCACAATGGTTTTTCGTTTCGTACTCAAATCGTGAGACTAATTTATGCGTGGGCAAATTTTACTTGCATTCATCTCCGATGACAAAGCAAAAATATACAATTTTCAAACGTACTAGAAATTAATTAATCACTAAAAATATTAAAATATTACTTTAAATTAAACATTATCAAAATTACTAATAACTAGTTGATAACGATCCATCTTATAATTATTTTCTAGCTTTATTAAATTTAAAAAAAAAATCTCTGTGTGTTTTGTTCTTTCCTTAAAGTCTTGCATAAAATATGTCATCTCACTTGCCAAATTAATGCAGATCTAATGAGAATATTACAATGATGTAAAGTGTTAAATGAATAAATCGTGTGGAAATTAACACCTGCGATTTACATATTTTATATTTAAGATATATATATATATATATATATATATATATATAATATATATATATATATATATATATATATATATATATATATATATATATATATATATATATATATATATATATATATATATATATATAGGCCCTATATATATTCATATATATATACATATATATATATATATTTATATACATATAACTAAATAAATAAATAAATATATATATATATATATATATATATATATATATATATATATATATATATATATATATATATATATATATATATATATTCCGAATGTACGATATCCTGAATGCCCAAGTGAAAATAGATCCTGTTGGAAGTGGTTTAATGTCCCAGCAATGTTAAAGCGGATACAGCATGTGTTTCCTCGTGTTTAGGGGACAAGTAAAAATAAAAGATTGTTTTTATTTCGTGACGGCAGATAGTATGGTATTTGTTTGTGACTGCTGTAACTTATGTCCGTATGTCCACGGCCACGACACTTCGTGTGTCTCTAGTCACGACACACTAAAAAATAAAATAAAAAACCACACTTTACGTAAAATTAACCCGTTTTTTTTTTCCCTCTCCCAAAACAAAAAACGCGAACGTTTTTGTGGCCGATTTAGTGCGGAAAAAGCGGGATATGGTAAAATTGTGTTGGATCGTGCGAAAGCTTGATCGCTTTCTGATGTCTGTCTTGTCGTGGACCTTTCAGCTATGGCTTGAATTTATAGCTGTGGAAATAGTTGCTCGTTTGTCAAGTTGTGTCAGGGTTGGACTTTGTTTACTTGACTTGTGACTTGAAATGATTGAAGTCATACTTCAAATTAGGTGAAAAATGGCTAAATAGTCGATTTCGTTGAGGGCATTGTTCGAACACTGTATTGTGTACTGGGTAAGGAACGACGTGGTCGAGTGATAAAGCGCACTATTGATACACACAATTAGAGTATGGGTACTGGGATCTAGGCTGTAAAACTTACCTGAGTTTTCTCAGCTCCTATGAGTACCCAACTTAGGTAAAGAGGTGTGGGCATTATAATAACTACATTTTAAATTCATGTCGAATCAAATGAATCAAGTAAACTCTCCTGTATGTACCCATATGGATGGTTAGGTCTTACTTGGTATTTTACTCATTAGCGGGGGACGGCAACCTATTGAGTAGAGAAACGTCTAAAATCAAACAACTGCTGACTTGTAGATTGTTCTTGGGTGGACAAAGTCTATGGAAACAAGCCTAAAAAGAAAATCTGGCTTAATTTGGAATCAATAGCCCAAAAGGTATATGGCATATCAACACTCTGTTTAATTACGTAGGAGGCAATGTCCTTCAACATTTCAATTAAGAAATAAAAATAAATACAAATGTGGTGAATAAAAAGGTGAATTCCCGGCCTAATTAATTAATTAATTAAATCTGTTCGGAAGTCTTGATGAAGGATTAACATTGCAGGAAAAGTACATTTTCCTTGTTAGAAATTTAACCCGATTCGCGAAAATAAAAAACAGGAAAACAATTAGGAAATGGACGCCATGATAGATAGGTCACAAGTAAACAATTAGAGGCTGTTACTTCGCGGATATTTACAAGCTCCGGGCGTCTATAAATAAACAAATATGTAGCCGTAAACAAACAACACTAGCGCAAAAACAAAACAACACTGATACACTGATTGATTGGAGTTGATGAGGGGGGGGGGAGGAAGGGGGGGGGGGGGGGGGGACTGCTCTTGTGTCTTTTGAAACCTGGTATATCTACATCTTGTGGACTTTAAGAATCTACAGGCATGTTTACGGAGGGCATTTTTCCCCTAAATTTATATTTTTCCAGGCACACATACCTTCTCCAAATGCACAAATATGTATGAAAATGTCAATTTACTGTTAAAACGATAACGGTATTAGGTCAATAAGATGTTAATGTATAGTAATAAAAAAGATGTAAAAATCGAAAAATAAAATAAAAAGTAAAATA